CCTCAACGGTTTTCTTTTTCTCTTCTTCTAGTCGATGACGCTTTTCTCTCTCCAAGACTTCTTGCTTTACGATCTCTTCCCGCAAACGCTGTTCCTCAAGTTCTTTCTGTATTCTAGAGTCAGAGAACGACGGTACGCCGTCCACGGAATCGGTCTGGTCTGGGGTGAAAGAAACTCTCCTTAACACTAGATAAGAACGAGCTTCATCATTTTTTGCGCCTTTTTTAAACGACAAATCACCTACACTTTTAGCTTTGCTTAGCTTGCCTTCACTAGCTTTTTCTCCACCTGTATTCACATCTGCTTGAGACTTAAGTCTTCCTACAATGACGTCATCAGCGGCCTCCATAGTTACGCGGTCTTTTCCCAACGATGTATCCTCCAAAGAGTTTATTCCACGTCGAGTGTGGTGAAGATTTAGAGAGTACCGCTTCTTTCGCAATTCCTCCTTAGAGTCTTTTCTCGCTCCATTTTTCTCAAAATTAGCTTTTCTAAGCGTTACTCCTCCACTGCTAAATTCATCTCTTTCCGAACCGAGAGAGCCGCCTTGCTCAAACTCTTCAGACGGGCGATCAAAGCTGGACGCGCGCCGCTTTGGAACAGTACTTTCTTGTTTACTCTCTTCCAGCGCTTTCAAAACACGCTGTTCAAGAATCAACTTGTGCGCTGCGAAAGCCGTTTTCCTTGACGTCGCATCATTCTCATACCTCTTTAACGTTTCCGCGTGGTCTTTTTGACGTTCCTCAGCAAGTTTGCGTTCGGTTTCCCTCTGCTTCTTCTTTTCTTCTTCTTTCGCAAGCTTAACGCGGAGCATCTCTTCAGCTTCTTTAAGATCTACTTCTTTCCTGATTCTTTCAAGATCTTGCCTTTGCGCTTCCCTGCGTCTTTTCTCTTCCTCTTGCTCCAGCCTAAAAAGTTCCTTCTCCTCTCTTCTTTTTCTCTCCTCTTCCGTTTCCAAACCGTTTACCTCTGGCCCCGAACCATTTGCCACTTGCTGGCGAAACGCATCGATCTCGTCAACAGGCGAAGACGCGACAACTGTTGACTTTGCTTGCTGAACAAAACTTTCTTCGCCATTACGCGTCTGAAATCCTGAGGTTTTACCAGTCGATCCACCTGAGACAGGATTTTTGGGCCCTTGACCGGTTGCTTTAAAAGCTTCACTTTTCTTCTCAAACTTTTTAGTCTGCTTCTTCACGCTGGGTACTTTCGCAGCAACAGCATTTGACTCGGCTACTTGTCTTGAATGCTCGTCTTTCGATTTTATCTCCTCGCTCTTGTTTTGAGGCCCTTGGTTTGCAGACTGAACCCTTCTTGCGATTTCAGCCTCTCTCCTCGCCTCTTCTTCTCTTTCCCTCTGTCTTTCTATTTCCAGCTCCACAATACTCTTTCGGTATTCAGGATTTCTACCCGTAGCTGGTTTTGCTCCATCCTTTGATCTACGAATAACGGGCTGATGTTGCGGTTGGTATTGTACCTGGGGCTGTGATTGGGGAGGGGCAGGACGTGGCGCGAAAACAGGTTCCTGAAGGGGCCTATTCTCTATCGCCCCTTTTATTGGACCACTAACACCTCCTTCTTCGCTCAGATCAATTACGCTTCCTCTCTTTGAAGAAAACCGAACGCCTTGAAAATTACCCCCGTCCGGTGCGTCTAATTTGTCATCAAAGACCGCTGTTTGGATTTGGCCTTTTGTTTGAAAAGCCGAGGGATGCTCTTCCTTTTTCGCGTGTATTAGTTTCTGTTTCTCAATCTCCAATCTTTCTTTTTCTTTAATTTTCTCTATCTCAATACGATTTAATTCCTCTCGCATTCTTTGTTGTTCTAACTCTTCTTCAATAATCCTTCCTGCCTCCGATCTGGAGAGTGGAGCCTTCTTTTGTCCCTGTCCTTCCTGAGCGAGCGACATTTGTTGCTCCAGCCTCTTCCTTTCCTCTTGAAACGTGTTTTTTCTTTGCTCTGCAGCTTTCCTGCTTTCTGTCTCCTGTTTATAAACTTCTTGGCGTGCTTTCTTCAGCATTTCCTCATCTATTTCCCGCTGCTTTGCCCTTTCTTCCTCCTTTCTTTTCTTCTCTTCCATCAAGAAGGGAATCAGCTCTTCCTGTGACAATCCACTCGGCAAGCGCGGCGATTGAGCATCAGAAGTGGATCTGCTAGGCAAGAATAAAAGAATCTAGATTTAGCATAAATTTTTTCCCTTTTTTAACAGACGATAAACAATCCGTCCCATGTAAAAGTACTACACAGTAGGTTTTATTTGAGCGGTCAAACTATGATTTCACTCAGAGACTCTTCAGTTAGGACTACATTTGACAGGAATGTAAACAGCACCACTTGGGAAAGCTGCTGGGTAGTTTTAATTTGATTATTCCATTAGAGAATAAATGGACAACCTTAAAAAGGGAAAATCTCATTTAGCGTAGTAAAAGGTATGACAGGAAAGTGCCGCTCAGTAGCTATCATTCGAATGGCCACAGTTCAGGATTTCATCAACAAACACAAAAGTAATACCACAGGAATACCACACACAGTACTGCTCATAGCTTTCATCTGAAGAGTCACAATTTAGAAGTACTACAGCATCACACTCGCTTAAAGAGAAGAGCTAAATAAAGATAATGATGATGACGATAACCAATAATGACAACCGACGGTTTAAAAAAAATGGCCATAACTGTACCTTGTGTGGTTTCCAAACGATGCACCGTCCTCTTCCAAGTTCAACAATAAGCCGTCCATTTTACTTGAAGCCGCAGAAGACTGGACAGTGGGTGCCGTGGACATCTGTACCACCTCGTCCACGGCACCGCAAGAACCGTTCATAGAACTAAGCAAGAGTTTGTCCTTTTCAGTGGTCGCGGAAGGTTCACTATAAGGGTCTACCTTGGGTTCCAGTTGAAGCGATCCAGATTTTTCATCATCAGTTCTGTTTTCGTACATTGTTTTCTTGTCATCAAAGCTACGTTTGGGCGGAGGCTTGATATGGTTTTCGGTTTCTGGGTGAAAGTTTCCGTTAGTAGCAGGCTGAGATGGACTAGAGCCAATCACTGACGAATTAATGTCCTATTAAACAGAAAAAAAAGCTCTTTTAAAAACAAAACGTTGTTGCCCACGAGGAAAATGTAATGTATTTCTTTTAAACTGCTCTCATAATCATGCAGGTAAATGGTGTTAAATCGTAACAAAAATCGCCTGCATGCTTTGCAGAAAGCAAGATTTAACTAAAAGCAGTTCAGCTTTTACGGCAAACGCGTGATTTGGACTTTCACTGAGTTTTCAAGGCCAATTCAGTGGTTTCGTGCAGACAATTCGATTCCTGTAAAAAGATACATGTGTATGCGGTTTCAAGAATATCCGGATTCTTGTCTTCGCGCCCAAAAAACATGTTCGTTGGTCGAGGGCCGTGGTGGATTAAGATTCACTTTGCGGCGATAGAGCAAATGACGAGACAAGAGCCCTTAGCTATTTGTGGGTGAAACTCTTCAGTGGTTCACGGCAATATTACAGGTGACGGCGATGTTGAGTAAGACTAGAACCATTCACTTTGGCAATTACTTACGCAAATACAGACCCACACGACAAAATAGATATTCATTAAGAGGGTTCACAGAGTCACAGCCGCCTTGTGTAAAACGAACACAGATACTTTTCTATTTTTGCTGATCTTTAATACGGACAACGAAACGACAAACTCTGATATATCAGATCTTACACACGCACATGATAGCATTGTGTAAAAAACCATGTAAAAGTGTAAACTACAATGTTTCAGTATTGTATTGTCGGTGTTCTTTCGCATAAAGACTAAAACATGCTTTCATTTTAGTCGTTTCGGAAAGCAATAGTGAGTTTTCTAATGAAAAATTCACTGACGAACATAAAACTAATTTTCTGTCGCACTAGATCGCTCTTTGATGAAAACAAACACTATTCGGAGAGAAAAACAATTTACACAGTTTACACAGTGGAGTTTGTAGCGAAACGACTTTGCAGCGACAACCGTAAAATCATTAAGAACTCAGGCGTACTTAAATAGCGCATACGATGGATTTAAACAAGATCGGCATTGTCCATTACAGAAAACTCGTTCATGACAGATTACAAGCCGAAAAGTGACAAGTGAGGTAAAAAATACGATGTTGACATTCAAACGAGTTAGTTTACATAATTTTCATAAGCTGCTGGGAACAAAATCTTTCGCAGTTTTGCTTTCCTACATTATACTGTAAACTCACCTTGTCAGCGTGTTTCAAGTGTTTCTTGTTCAATTCTTTACCGCCGCTTTCTTCGACTACCAATTCCTTTTTAGTTAACACCGTATCTTCCGTTTGCTTTTTATAAAAGTTTTCGTCGTTGTCAATTTTAGAGTGCACAAACTGGGATTTATACGCTTCTAGGCTGTTGTTGTTCCCATCATTCGCTGGATGAGACAGTGGCGACGGCGGAGCAACGCTTGAAGACTCCTGTGAATGTGTTAACTCGATGACTGTTCGACCAAACTGGTCTTGTGTGATATTCTGATAGATAACTGGCGCCGATGGTGGTTCTTCGCATATAGAAGTTCCAAAATCTGTTTACACAACACATGTAACGCAACATTAGTCATTCATCCCTTAAACGAACAAAAGCGTAACAAACTAGGAGTTAAAACTATCATACTTTTCAACTCTTTAACATTCATTTTCCCCAGGATTTAATCAAAAGTTAGATCCACTTTGCACAGTATAATAATAAGCAGCAGCGGTAAGTACTGCCCACTTAACAATATCTAAATGATTACACCATGCGATTTCGTCGACAGACTCAAAAGTTGGAACCTTCTAGTACAGCATAATAAACAGTTTCAAAGAACAATACTGCTCAATAGCTTTTATTTGACAATTTTGAATGGTCACACTTTAAGATTTTATCCACAGACTCAAAACTTCGAATCCCCCAGTACATCATAATATATACAGTACAACAGAAAAGTACCGCTCAGTACCTTTCACTTAAATGTTCACTCTGGCATTGTATCCACGGACTAAAAAGTTAGACCCAGTTTCGTACGCTAGTCATGATTAACAGCAGCACTGAAAAGTACTACTCATTGATCTTTATAAAAATAGTAACACCGGTATTGGATTTCTCGACCGAGTAAGATGTACTTCTTTGAAAAATCGCTTGAAAAATACTTAACGATGTATGTTGCAATACTTAGCTAACATAAAAAGGAAAATTAAATTGAGAAACTTGAATTCTTCAGGATCCCAAAAAGTTGAAAGTACTTGTCAAATAAACGTGTCGTTCGGTTATGTTTCAGACGAAACTGAAACGACACCAGCCTCGGGAGATATCCTGTTTCGTATTTGGAAGCGAAGAGTATGAATTAATGCAAGTAAAGGTAAAAAATTCCCGTGAATTGAAGCGACACGTTTCTCAGAATGTTTCAAGCAATTCCTAGAACTCAGTTCTTCGAAGCTCTGAGCCCAAAAGCGTTAAAAAAATCAACGAGACTTCATTAACCCTTTTAAAACTTTTGTGGTGAGAATTACAGCTATTCATTTTTTACGGTATTCCATATGCAAGTGGATACAAGAACTAAAACTTGACCAAACTATCAAAATCAAACATTTTAGTATCGTTCAGAGGTTTGGGAAAATAAAAAGAACATGAAGACAGGAACATTTTAAAAGTTACTGAAAGATATAAGTTTACACATCAGCATGTGCAATTTACTAAATAATTAAAACGCTCCTTGTGCTGACGAATGCCTCTAGATTTTCCAAGTTATTTATTAGTCATCTCATTTAGACAATGAGAGACTGGTATGAGGTTAAACAAATATAATGTAAATTTTCTGTGATATGCGCTTTCCGGTCGCGGTAGAGCGAGCTGTTGTTTACATTCCGGAAAGAACTTCACTTGAAGTCATTTTAGTTGAAAAGTTTTTAAATCGCTACTGAAAAGCTTTTCACGAGTTCTCCCAGAATGCCGCTTAAGTATATTACGCTGGTATACCGATAGAAAGTTTGGTCTGTGAGTTAAATCAGTTTCCAGGGCATTAAAAGCTGAATGGAATTTTTATCTGCTAATTGTATTTGCACTGTGAAACAATTTTGTATCGATCAAGTAGCTGCTGGCCATAATCCAGTCTCTGGCTTGAAGCGACTGCAACAATGAATAAATCTCGCTCCCTTAAATAAGAGCCTGCAAGACGAACTCTTACTTAGACAGCGACTAAGTTAATCACTGTGCCGGGATATCTCTGTTTTTAAATGGGTTATTTTAAAACTGCAGAGAATTGTTTGTCTTGTCTGCTATATACTCGGCCTTCCTGTAAAAGCTAACAATGGACAATGGGTTTAAATATCGAGGTTGGTCAATTTGCTTTGACAAGGGCTTAGATTGCGTTTCAATGTTAAACGCCGACAGACTAAACTTTGTTTTAATAATCGATAATAAAACTGGCCCTCAGGGCATTTTCATGATAGGCAGGTCATCAGACATGGCTCGGTTTCCGAGATCTCGTGTTAACCCTGTTTCTTATGTAAAACTTCCTTGTTCTCTTCCTATGCGAGTCGACTCGTTCTCATTTATCAATAAACCCTGAACGGCCAACTGTCTGTCTCCATTATTTCAGGTTTGAACGAAACAAAACCGACCAGGGACGAAAAAAATGCCACAAAGAATATACACTACATGTGACGAAATTGAAGATTTTCAAAAAGTACTGAAATTAAACAAACTTTTAAACTGAAAACTACGGCCGATTTCCATTTGACTACTCCATTCGATCGTTAAGATCAGCACGCCCCGTAGTACAAAGCTTGCTGAACCTTTTCAGTCCCTAGCAGTCACTGGAAACGAACTTTATTAATTCATCGAACCAACAAACAAATCGATAATGTCATCACTATGGTTGATCGAAGTATGATAATTATTCGCATTAAATAAAACAAACATTGAACGATTTTCTGCAACGATGAGCGTTTGAGAAACACAAATCTCTTCTTCAATTTATAGGCCATTCTGATACAAGGCCATTCCTCGATCTGATCCAGCAACGGAGTAAAATGCTGATGAAAAAATAATAAAACAAAACTCATACAAAGTCGCGCCGCTAATTGGCGAGATGAAGGTTCTTGGGCAGTGTTAAAAATGGTTGTCAATGTTTTCTTTTCATTTATTGTGTTTGCAAATTTTGCGATCGAGCAATCCAACCGCGAAAGGTTCAATAATCGGCCCAAACCAAAGCTGCGAAATAAAATCGTCAGCGAAAGCCAGGATTATAACCAACACCGCGTTAAAGTCACGCAAAATATTTGCAAATAACAATCACAAATCATAATTACCGCTCAAGTCGCCGTCTTCGCTCCACAATTTCAAGACTTCCACGTCCTTTCTATCAGAGAGCGGCGACCAATATTTCTTGTTCGCTCCTAGAAATATATCTTCGCCCGTGGGCTGACGTTTCAAGAGAAAACTTCGATCGAACGGCTTGAAACTTTCCCTTTTGGTCTTGTCCTTTAACTGCTGGAGTGTCTGCAAAATGTAAATATCAGGAAATATCAGCAGGCTAATATTGCATGTTGTTAAGAACGCTTAGTTGCCCATGCGTTGCTGTAAATATTACTTAGCATCACAACCGGTCAAAGATGGAGGCATACCGTGTGCCTAGGCGGTGGAAAATACGAGAAAAAACAGCACAAAGGAGTCTATTATTTGCAAGAACAAAGTACATGAACGTTTTGAACTGTATTTTTGGCAAGTCTGCACGAGTCTGCTTTTAAATTCTGAAACTCGTGAGTCTGTGGCTTCTGGTCTCACGTGAACACTCGTAAGGGATATTTTCGTGGACATAAATGATGACCACGACGACAGGAAGATAATCGATATGGAGAAAAATAATGGACCATTATACGGTAGGAGGGCTAAAAATTGCCAGTGCTCATTTTGTATATTCATGTCAGTAGGATTTTGTCCTTCGTCTTTCAAGTTCTTTCCTCTTAAGACAGCTGCTAGCAGGACTTCTTAAACAAATTTTTCTTCTGAGCTGCAGAGGAAAGCTTTGATAAGTTTTTTGATCTTTATTGTTGTTGTTGTTGTTGTTGTTGATGTTGTTGATGATGATGTCGTCCAGTGTTGTTGCTGTTTTTTTTTTTTCGGGGGAGGGGGCTAATTCTGAATCCTGACTGAATGTTTACAGAAAAAACCCGCAACTAAGAACCTGCTTTTTCCCAAGTTAGCCTAAATAGGTTCTTACGTAAATGGTAAATATAGGGACAAATTTATGCTGTTTAGGTTCTCAAATAGGTTCTTATTTTCTGAAGGAAAAATAAATTGTAGCTAAGAGTATTTAGTGGTGTTCAGCTTATTCTGTGCAGAAAATCTGCATGCCAATACATCCCGGTTGGGGTGATAAGGCACTTATGTCTCCAAAGGGGATCCTGAATGTTGACTTATCCAATTTGTCCAAGTGTACAAAAATTTCTTTAAAAAAATGTTGAAAATAAGAACCCGTTTTAAATTTTAGGCTGAACAGGTTCTTGTATAGAGGGGGCCTAAGTGGCAAATTTTAGCCTAAAAGGTTCCTAAAAACCACGGTCTTAGTCGCGGGTTTTTACTGTAGTGAATACCCTTGAAGTAACTGAAATCCGGAGACATTTTTGAATGCGGAATAATCTTCTTTAGTGTAAACTTAAGCCGGAAGTAGATAATTGTCATTTATCCTTGAATTCAATTTTAATTGACAGTAATTGAAGAAAACGATCGAGGCGTTTTGAACAATCCATGTTTAGCCCCACAATGGTTACGCTCAGTACTTGCAGACCAAAAAATATATATCTTTGGCTTTGAAGCCATTATGATACCAAAATGGTGGACGGTTTCGTTATTTTATTTTATTACAATTAAACGCGCCTCGGAAAATATGCTTGTAGAGGGGGGTGTTGTAGTTATCTTGAAACGAAAAAGAAAAGTCACTGAACGTGATCCTCTGGAATTTTAGAAAGAGGGAGAGGGGTTTAGGTGGGGATGGGGGAGAACCTATTTGAGAAATAGAAGAACCTATTTGAGAACCTAAACAGCATAAATTTGTCCCTATATTTACCATTTACGTAAGAACCTATTTAGGCTAACTTGGGAAAAAGCAGGTTCTTAGTTGCGGGTTTTTTCTGTAAACATTCAGTCAGGATTCAGAATCCCGGACGCGCGAGACCAAGTTGGGACGTTTTTCTTTCGGACTCACGAATCTGCGTGCGAACGGCAAAACGAATCCGGCACCAAACTTTCCCCATTCCCCTTGAATCTCCTTTATTGTAAACCTAGCATGAGTTATACTAAAGGGCGAACTAATTAAGCAAAAGCCACAAAAATACTTCTTACAAGTCTGAGTTCAGTTTCCTCTTTTTCAAAGACGAACACTTGTCTCTCAACTTGCTCCAACTCTTCTTGGACTTTCTGCGCCATGGATTCTTCGAAGCCTCCAGCTATTTCCAGGCATAGTTTCTCCTGAAATACCACAAAAAAGTGCTAAAAAGTCAGGCGGGATAAGAGTGGCATCCCGGCAATCCCGAAGGGATCTCACGGGATATCGATATCCCGACATTTTCACTCTTGATGGGAGATCAGATATTACACGTTGGTTCCCGCCACCGAGTGTGTGGTATCGAATAATGTTATATGTTATATGTTATACACACGTCTTCGTCCTAAAGAATAGACCACGAACAGTCTCTCTTTTTTCGTAGTCCGTCGAGCAAAACGCGCGTGACTGAAGGCGCGAGATGAAAGAGGCACGCTCTCGCGCGCGTGCACTCCCCTCGCTAAATCTAAAGAAAACGGAGAGATTTCTTTTACAGGTCACATTCCAAAGGTCACGATTACAGGTCACTGTTTTATGAAGAAAACGAGTGACTACTCGCAGTTTACCTAAAGGACAAAAAACGTGCACTTGTTTTGTAACATTTCTCAGGCAAAACGAGTTGAAAACTGATGTTGCGCGTTTTACCACCCACAAATCAAACCTGTCTTGCAGGAATTAAGTTGTTACAGGTTACGAAAAGTTGTTGCAGAAAGTAGAAAGCAGTTCTTTTTTTTTTGCAACAAATTCTGTACATGTTGCCTCGTTTAAGCGGCCCAAGGCAAAGTTGTTTTCGGCAATTGATTCAATTCCCGTGTATGGCGTGACTCCTGCGTAATTTTATCCAATCAGAAGTCAGTATTCACGTAACTTGCAACAATCTGATTTGTTGCAAGTCCGCTTTGAAATTGGGTGGTAAAACGCGCAATAATAACTTGTTTTCAACTCATTTTGCCTATGTTCCAAAACAAGTTGCGGATTCTTGTTGCCCGTTTCACCGTAGCTTAAGACTTGACCGAAACAGGAAACCGCGCATGAAAAGTCTCGGACACCAAGGAGACCAACACCTACGCACCGGAGAATGCCGCTTGAAAAGCTTTCGCTGTGATTTTAACCATTTGGAGTATAAACGACAGACTGGTAAGTTTGAAGAACACGTTTTCACTGGTAAAAAACTGCCCAACAAAAAATAACACGTCCCCTGAACCCAAGTTTAACGGTCATGTGGACGATAAGACCTGAAAATTTCGTCTGAAACCTTACCACAAAATATTGCAAAATAATCTATTAAATAATTAAATTACTTTAATGCACTATTTTTCACATTACGAAGGGTTCGCAAATAAACGACTTTGTTCTTCGAGTCTTGAAGAGAGAATGATATAATCTGCATTTTTGCAGGTAACTGTGTTCGTCACAAAATGGCGGATAGTGGAAAGTACTTAAAAAGTCCAAGTTCGTGATTGTTACCAAGCAAACACGACGGCAACGGCAACAGCAACGAAAACGCCACTTGGAAAGCGAGTTCGCGCTGTTTTAAAATTTCTTACTCTTGCTCTATTTCATACAATTTGTTTAATGCTAGGGAATTCTTCTGGAGTTGATTCTAAAGGACTGTATCTAAATTCAGAAAAAGAAAAAAGAAAGTCGTTGTTTTCTCTCCACGTCCTTCATAAAACGTGAAACTAGGAAGTTCCACGTCGTAGTCGCGCAACGACGGCAAAGAAATGTGCAAAAAAGCGTGACGCACGTGCAGAGTTGTTGTTTTTCTGATCTAAACCAATTGTTTTTTTGTCATTCTCGTTGCCCTCGCCGTCGTAAAACTTAGTTCCTCAACATTCTACCACGTTTATGACTTGTAAAAATGGTGAAAAGTACTCTGCCAAAATGCAGATTTGCGCGTTCTTCGCTTTATAAGTGAAACTCGGTTATTTACAGCATAGAATAAAACAAGAGTATACAAGTAATAGAGGTCACTTAATGCTGTCATGAAGGACCCAGTAAAGATCAACATACATTTTCTCCAAACCATTCCACATAGTTTTGAGAACCTAAACAGCATAAATTTGTCCCTATATTTACCATTTACGTAAGAACCTATTTAGGCTAACTTGGGAAAAAGCAGGTTCTTAGTTGCGGGTTTTTTCTGTAAACATTCAGTCAGGATTCAGAATCCCGGACGCGCGAGACCAAGTTGGGACGTTTTTCTTTCGGACTCACGAATCTGCGTGCGAACGGCAAAACGAATCCGGCACCAAACTTTCCCCATTCCCCTTGAATCTCCTTTATTGTAAACCTAGCATGAGTTATACTAAAGGGCGAACTAATTAAGCAAAAGCCACAAAAATACTTCTTACAAGTCTGAGTTCAGTTTCCTCTTTTTCAAAGACGAACACTTGTCTCTCAACTTGCTCCAACTCTTCTTGGACTTTCTGCGCCATGGATTCTTCGAAGCCTCCAGCTATTTCCAGGCATAGTTTCTCCTGAAATACCACAAAAAAGTGCTAAAAAGTCAGGCGGGATAAGAGTGGCATCCCGGCAATCCCGAAGGGATCTCACGGGATATCGATATCCCGACATTTTCACTCTTGATGGGAGATCAGATATTACACGTTGGTTCCCGCCACCGAGTGTGTGGTATCGAATAATGTTATATGTTATATGTTATACACACGTCTTCGTCCTAAAGAATAGACCACGAACAGTCTCTCTTTTTTCGTAGTCCGTCGAGCAAAACGCGCGTGACTGAAGGCGCGAGATGAAAGAGGCACGCTCTCGCGCGCGTGCACTCCCCTCGCTAAATCTAAAGAAAACGGAGAGATTTCTTTTACAGGTCACATTCCAAAGGTCACGATTACAGGTCACTGTTTTATGAAGAAAACGAGTGACTACTCGCAGTTTACCTAAAGGACAAAAAACGTGCACTTGTTTTGTAACATTTCTCAGGCAAAACGAGTTGAAAACTGATGTTGCGCGTTTTACCACCCACAAATCAAACCTGTCTTGCAGGAATTAAGTTGTTACAGGTTACGAAAAGTTGTTGCAGAAAGTAGAAAGCAGTTCTTTTTATTTTGCAACAAATTCTGTACATGTTGCCTCGTTTTAGCGGCCCAAGGCAAAGTTGTTTTCGGCAATTGATTCAATTCCCGTGTATGGCGTGACTCCTGCGTAATTTTATCCAATCAGAAGTCAGTATTCACGTAACTTGCAACAATCTGATTTGTTGCAAGTCCGCTTTGAAATTGGGTGGTAAAACGCGCAATAATAACTTGTTTTCAACTCATTTTGCCTATGTTCCAAAACAAGTTGCAGATTCTTGTTGCCCGTTTCACCGTAGCTTAAGACTTGACCGAAACAGAAAACCGCGCATGAAAAGTCTCGGACACCAAGGAGACCAACACCTACGCACCGGAGAATGCCGCTTGAAAAGCTTTCGCTGTGATTTTAACCATTTGGAGTATAAACGACAGACTGGTAAGTTTGAAGAACACGTTTTCACTGGTAATAAAACTGCCCACCAGAAAATTACACGTTCCCTGAACCCAAGTTTAACGGTCATGTGGACGATAAGACCTGAAAATTTCGTCTGAAACCTTACCACAAAATATTGCAAAATAATCTATTAAATAATTAACTTACTTTAATGCACTATTTTTCACATTACGAAGGGTTCGCAAATAAACGACTTTGTTCTTCGAGTCTTGAAGAGAGAATGATATAATCTGCATTTTTGCAGGTAACTGTGTTTGTCACAAAATGGCGGATAGTGGAAAGTACTTAAAAAGTCCAAGTTCGTGATTGTTACCAAGCAAACACGACGGCAACGGCAACAGCAACGAAAACGCCACTTGGAAAGCGAGTTCGCGCTGTTTTAAAATTTCTTACTCTTGCTCTATTTCATACAATTTGTTTAATGCTAGGGAATTCTTCTGGAGTTGATTCTAAAGGACTGTATCTAAATTCAGAAAAAGAAAAAAGAAAGTCGTTGTTTTCTCTCCACGTCCTTCATAAAACGTGAAACTAGGAAGTTCCACGTCGTAGTCGCGCAACGACGGCAAAGAAATGTGCAAAAAAGCGTGACGCACGTGCAGAGTTGTTGTTTTTCTGATCTAAACCAATTGTTTTTTTGTCATTCTCGTTGCCCTCGCCGTCGTAAAACTTAGTTCCTCAACATTCTACCACGTTTATGACTTGTAAAAATGGTGAAAAGTACTCTGCCAAAATGCAGATTTGCGCGTTCTTCGCTTTATAAGTGAAACTCGGTTATTTACAGCATAGAATAAAACAAGAGTATACAAGTAATAGAGGTCACTTAATGCTGTCATGAAGGACCCAGTAAAGATCAACATACATTTTCTCCAAACCATTCCACATAGTACATTCCTGTGGTGCAATAATGAGATTTTACCCACAAATCCAGACCTTTTACCTTTGGCGCTTATATGCTTTATTCTTCTGCTCTTTTACTTTTGTTCAACTAAGGCAGTAATGAAATAAAGACATACTACGTGCACATCAGATTAACCCTAATTAAGCCCGGATATTCACACACAAATTCTCCACACTTATCCTCACTCATTGCCTTAAAGAATAAGTTGAGAGAATTTGATAAAAGATTGATCAAAGCATTTTTCCTTAGGTGATCATTTTCTTTATTCTCATAAAAATTATTTTATTATGTATCGATATTGTTAAGAGAAAATTGATGTAGCTTTTGGTCCCTGGTAACAGGGGTAAGTCTTACCTTCAATGAAAGTAATTTTCTCTTCTCCATTTGGACCTCAGCAAGCCTGTAAAATCATCAGCACACAAAAGTTAGCATATAAAGAGACAAGAAATTATCGAACTTTCCAGGGGAGGTTCTTCCAGGAATTCAGGTGTGTGTTTTTACATATACTGTACCATTTTCTTTGCAACATCGATGATACTTATTAAATATGACCACCACTTGCATAAAGATTAAATTGTATTTTTTGTTCCCTCCACAATCAACATTTATTTACTGTAAATCCCCTATTAAGCCCCCTGGGGAGCTTATTTTTTTCAAGCACTTTTGAGGGGGGGGGGGTATTTAATTTAGCAAAACGTATCAACAGGAGCAAGGTTTCTCGAGGACAGACTTGTGGTTACCGGGTGTTATACTGCTATTTCTAACAATAAGGAAATGGTAACAATACTTCACAGAGAACTAGAGTGTAAAGTTGAAAAGTTAAGCACATGAAGTTGGAGGTCATGCAGCTGAAGACCAAAAAACAATATGAATTTCCAGCCTGAATAAACCATAACTGATCAGCACATGTTAATTGTTTGTGAAGAATAAGGATGGAGGGGAGGGGGGAGGGGGGCTTATTTGAAAGGGGGGGCTTAATAGAGGATTTACGGTAATAATCTTAGTTTCAAGGAGTTAACTGTCTCATTTTTTATAAAGAATTATCCGCTCAAGGACAAAGTTGTGGGGTATCAAGCAAAATTCTTAAACTAATAGTAAAATAACAAGAATGCAGCTGAATAGGTGCCGTATTTATTCGATTAACCGCCCTGGGCGCTTATTAAATTTTTGGACCTTGAGAGTGGGCGCTTATTCTAGGTGGGCGCTTATTCGAGGCTGGGCGCTTATTAAATTTTCACCATTTTCAGCAACTGAAGTATGTTTATTTTGCAACAAAACAATAAATGCTAACAACAAAACGCGAAGAAGTAACAAAGCAAGGTTTCTGAAAAACACTCTGAAGAAAACTCCTTCCCGGGGAAGTCTGTTATTAGAATTTATTCACTCAAGTGGGTGGGGTGGGGGTGAGCGCTTATTTGAGTTTGATTGGGAGGAGATGGGGGTGGGCGCTTATTCGAGGCTGGGCACTTATTAACTTTTTCTGCCTTTAGGATGGGCGCTTATTCGAGGTGAGCGCTAATTCGAGGTTGGGCGCTTATTCGAATAAATACGGTATCATAAACAATATTTATTTAAATGCAATTTCTTTATCATTACAAACCTCAGTCTTTTGCTCTGATAGCACTCATCTGTCAGCTACAAATAGAAAAATAATATTCTGTTATACTGATTTGCATTTATTCAGGTCTTCGGGATACACAATTTACACACTAGACAAAAATGTTAACAATCAACATACATGTAAAAATGGGCAGTTATACTGTAAGGCCAAGCAAGATAAGAAAATTAACTTTACCAAAGGGCAAGGTGTTTCTCTATTAAAAGGGTGATAAACTACACAAGTCCGCCCTTCTGAAGTTTTGAGTATGTGGTCATCAGCAAAACCAAAATAGGGTTTATTCTACATATTTTATTTTAAGTCATGTTAAACTATTCCCTCATTAAAGCATGAGAATAAAAAATGATAAAAGAAAAAAGAAACAGGATAGACAAATTACCTGTGGTGGAAGAATTGATCTCACATTAATTGACAGCCCCTCAATTGAGTTACCTAGTGAAAAAAAGAACTGCTTTCAATTTGCACTTGTACAAAATGTTTTTTTTTTTGTCTTTTTGCATGTAAATAAAGCATATAGAATGAAGACTGGCAATGAAACAGGAGCCAAATGCGAAACACTTTGCAGATAGCTCATATTGTGATGGAAACTCTCATCTTATGCTAAACTTGCACCAAACTTAACATCTCCACAATGTAAAACTGAGTATGTAAGGGGATAATTGATATTTTAATAAAAGCCAGGCAAATAATTCTGGGTATGCCTGAACAGGCAATATTCTTTGCTTTGCATGTTACTCCATCTTAATAGCAGTTACCTTGCTTGCAGAATCTAGTTAAATGAAGAGCTACAAAGAATTCTTCCAGTGATAGTTTACCATCTCTGTCAATATCAGATAAGTTCCTGTAAAAAAAACAAGAAAATTATGTTTTAAAAATGACGTTACTGAATGTACACGATAAAGTTGAGCCGTTTTAACCTTGTGGCCAGAAGCTGTGCAAATATATTGAAAGAAAAGAAAGTTTAAACAATAAAAGAAGGTTAGACTCTCGCAGGATTGGTTTGGGACACCAATATGGCCACCTTTTCATTGTTTTGGGACAGCTATATGGTGGAAGTTACGTCATGTGAAAATGCTCTATCCATAAATTAGTACGTCACTTATTATCCCAGTTCCTTCACAAAGGGATGTGCTATGGGGCAAAGAAAAGCCAGAAAGTTAGGTTTAATAAAATAAAGTTCCTGTAAAAGCATGAGACATTAAAGAAATAATAATATTGTTATCACACAGTATAGATAAATGAGTCAGATACCCACAATGCCAGTCCCCAACTCTACACTCCACCCCTCCCCCCTATCTCCGCCAAAAAAGGGATGTTCTTACAGAGGGCAAATGTGAAGTTTTCTGCTCTAAGCATCAGGGCCTCTTTGGAGACCAGGGGCCCGTTTCTCGAAAGTCCCGGTAACTTTTCGGGTCCGAAATAAAATATTCAAATCAAAATATAAAGAACAAGAGCACCAGTCTTACAGCAAACTACTCCAGTTTGTTTCATTAACTGATAGTTTTATCATGTTAGATGCAAAACTATTGAAACCTCAATCCTTAATGTAAATGAAGTCAGCTTACTGGGCCCGTTAATTATCGGGACTTTCGAGAAACAGGCCCCTGCCCCCGAACTGAATGGGCCACCCTATTGAAATAAATTGTTACTTTACTAAACTAAACTACTTTCAAGGGGACAGTAAAAACCAACTGATAAATATCTTGTCATTTTAACTCACCAAATTTGAGCAAGGACATGATCAGGCAGACCAGACCCAGTAAGGATGGCACAAGCAGCTTCAGCTTAAAGAGAAAATACAATAAATATTAACCCACAGACAGACTCATATAAATGACAAGGCCAGAGCTTGAAATAATTTTTTAGCTGGGACCTGTCAAGTTGTCTAGTCAAACCAAGTCAAACCTATTTTCACTTGGACAAAGCCAGCTACTTTTGACTAGAATTATAACATTGTCCGTTGACTGGCTGTCATTTCAAGTCCTGCGGGCTTAAATACTTTTTTCAAAGCTAGCTGGCAATTACCAGGTTTTGCTGCTTAAACGTTCTGGAGAACCTAGCATAAAACTTCCCTTGATTGAGTACCTCTACCGATATACAATGCAGTTTATTCCAGTACTGCTCTAAACCTCAAAAACTTTCACCCTTACTTCCAACATCATGACAGAGATGCTGATCCAGCAAAGTGTCTTTTCGATGCTTACCATTAATAAATCCAGTTTTTGAATTAACATTCCACATGAAAGCTTTTTCATAGACTTCTTTCTCCTCCGGTGACATAGCTGGAATATCGACAGTAGTTAAATAAACTGGATTTAGGGTCTCAGGCAATTTTTCAGGAATGTCTGTGCCCTTTAAACGACTTTGAATGAGATGCATTGCTATTGCAAATTCTGCGGTGTCCAACATGTTGTTTCGTGTCACATCAGCGAGTTTCCTTTAAGAATAAACAAAAAAATTCAACCCACAAGCAGTTCTTAACAATTTAAAAGTAACTTTTTGTAACAATGCTATTATTATGACGTTAACATTGCTACTTAATGATAAAAGTAATCAACAGAGCATTTTTTTCTAATTTCTAAGAAGGCATTCCTCATATAATCCCGACTGAATGGTCCAAAGGACAATAATATTTACTCCAGGGAGGGGAGGGGGAGCAATTTTTTATCCTGGCTAATAAGTATATGCCAAATGGCAAGGTCTAACAAGGTCCTGGCAACACACCCCACCTGTGGCCAACAATATTATTATTTATAGCCACCCCCTCTACCTTAAGGGAAATTACTGTACACAAATTCACAGCAGATGTCATTGGCCCAGGCCCCTAATTAATTTATAGACCAAACATTTTGGGGTTTGCCCACTCTCTTCTTCTATCAGCATCTGAATAAGGGGACCCCTCAAACACTAGAGGGTCTACAATGTTGCATGGTCTGCCGTTGAGTGTTATTTTGACTTATAAAAAGGATTTATTATAAACTAGTGTCCATGGTATTCTCAATAGCCTATGTTTGATGTATTAAAATTCTGACATGACTCTGAGGCTTTATGGTCAAAATTGCACAATTTTCACCACTCCACTGTTTTGCAATTCCCAGAGACTTGAGCACAAAGAAAACAAAACAAAATACAGAAAATGACCAGAAAGCTTCGGAGTCATAGAATTTTAATATATTGAATATGGCCCACTGTTGTTAATATTGAGCAAACAGAGTTTGAGTCTGTTTGTTTACTGCTTGTTTATTTGCCCTTAAGAGAGAGTTTTTAATATTTACGGGTTTCTTTGTGACATCTTTATAACAACCACAATGAAAGGTATGAAAAGTATGTACAAAAAAATTAAGCTACAGCAAAATATCCAGCTATGTAGGCCATGTTCAGTTTCTTCTCTTACAGCCTTCGATTCACAATGGCTAATCAGCAGCGAAAATCATTGCCCATATTTTTTCCCACGAACAAAAACATAATAATGTAAGGAGGCACTCTAGAGTAGAGATTAATATAATTATTTCTTACCCCTGGGCTATTGGAAATTATATATACTTTGCATAATAAAAACTTGTGTAATGGGGTGTATTTGCCTTGAAGATATAGAACACAGTCAATTTTAATACCTATGGTTTTCCCAATCAAATGACACCTCGCCTTATTAAAGTATCACATGGTTCACCAAGACATTTACCAATCCAATTTAATTACTGTGGTTTAAAAATAAAATACGTGAAACACAATGCGTATGTAGCCACATGGATAATAAAGAAATCTATAGCCGAGATAATTCTGTTTTGAAAACAAAGCGAGGAACCCGTTGTTTCTAGAAAAAGACGAGCTTTGGAATCTGACGATTGCAACTGCGAAGGATTGCGATCCAAATTTTACAAAATGTATAACGCTGATGGGCCTAATTTAGAAAAACTGCATTTCCTAAAGGCTCACCCCTGCGAACATAACTAAAACTTAATCTCACACACTCGATTTAGCTTGTTGAATATACATGTACTGTCTATAAGCTTACTATTCAGTTAAGTACCGCGCTAACTGAAAAATTTATCATATACATTTCGAAATTATTTTTTTAAACCAACCAGATCTTACTGAGCTCCGGTAAAGGTAGTTTGGATCGTATGAACAAAGAACGAGCCTGTTCACCTGAAAAATATAACAAAAAATGTGAAGAAATATTTGCACAGATGAGGCGCGATCGAAGCCGCCATCGCTTTCACACATCACACATTTTCTCACCAGATAAATATTGATCCGTAGGTTTTTGACTGTAAAATAAGGCATCGTGACGAGTTCTTTCCTCTTCAGAAATAACCCACTTCAAATCCATTTCAGGTTGAAGAAGAGACCTGAAATAAATGCAAAATAGTAAGTTATTTTTACCAATTTCATTCATGAAACGAAGACGTCAATTTCCAATGCCTCTGAGATTTCCTTTCCACGGCGATAAAAACGTGATACGCCAACGTGCGATTCACCTTAGGAAAAACCATCATTGTTTAAATTGTCCATCATGTAGATTCAGTTTGTTTTTGTCGGCGAAAAATCGCCTGAATATCTGCATCAATATCCCACTGAACTCAAATTTTACATTTTGTCACGGTTTTTTGACGCTGGTCCAGTTTCCATGAGTGCCATAAGAGATGTGGGGGAGGGGTGGAGTAGGAAGAGAGTGTGAGGGGAGGGCCGGGTCAATGGTCTGTTCGGTGCGCCCGCCCATGAGTACAGAAATCTTTGTTCTGAATTTTCTCTCAAAGACAGTGATGCAAACAAACACGTGAGCGGAAAATCATCCCTCGAGGACACAAAACGCGTCCCGCGAAGAACTCCGCGCTTCAGAAGCTGAGCTTCTCTCGAGGTGGAGATTTTACACGCCTTCACATTATGACATATTTTGCTCGCGCTTTCTTGACTCTGAGCAAGATGTTACAGACCTCGTAGCCATATATATGTAGTAAGTAGGGTAGTTATTTGAATTATGCAATAAAAATTTCAACATGCCGGACAAGCTGATATAGCAGAAGCACGCTACTCTAGATTCTACAGAACATTCATGATTACATACGTACAATCATGTACATTTTTCGTGATGACCTCCTTTTTTTCGGCTTGCTTATAGGTTTAACTGAATTCATAATGGTTAGAATCATGATTCTCCGTAATTTTCCGTCGTCATTTTGGGGGATCAGTTTTCTTGGAAATTTGACCCATGTGTACATCATGCGTCTTTATCCAGCGATCTAAAGAACACCTGCTTTCATTGTTGTTTTAATTTGAATTTCAAAGCATACCCTGCGATTCGGGTCGTAATACAAAGCCTAACTATTTTATCCAAGTACAACTTCAGTTGCTGCAATGACAAATACTTGGCGCACGAGCGAGATTATACTTCACACACACACACACACACAAAAATTCCTTAATAGAATTAATAGTTTAAAAATATTCTAAGTTTTGATTCTGAGAATGATCTCAGTATAAATAATAACTAGCAAAAAATAAAACACCAAAAAACTTTGTAAGAAACTTGATCCGAAATAATGCACAAAGATCACAAAATTATCGTCTTTTTCTTTTATTTCAATAGGAGCCCATTCCTGATTTCAAAGATTATCGGTGTGTTTTTTAAGAACATCATACTCTCATGAATTAACTATATTTTAAATTGTCATTGATAAACTAACGGGGCGTAAAACGCACTAATGAAACTGGATTCATTATAAGCTATATCGCTATTAAATTACTGGAAATGAATTTACAACATACCAATGCTTTCTCAGAATCATCTTTTAAATCAGTTCGCTGAAAGATTTTCCAACAGTTTTGTTTTAAAAATCCACTTATTCAGCAAGCCACGATATGCACTAATGACTCTTAATTTGCCTGATTGGTGACAGATTTTCATGTTTTTTCAAACTTTTCTTCCGGAGCCCCTTTCTAGCGCCTGTCACGCAGAAAACAGACTGATCAGCGGTATTTTCACAAGAACACATGGAAAACCAATATGGCGGACACAGCGGATCTATCCAAAAAAATCAAAGAAGTAAAGGACAAAACGAAAGCTATTTTAGAAAGCGATGCAAATTCAAACTTGCTCGTTGATCTACTGGAACTTTCGGAGAGGGAGGATGAAAAGCTCCTCCTCGCATTTATCAGATCAGCACACAAAATCTTCACAACGTTTTTTTCTCGTGGAAAGCTACAACCTCCTTCTAGCATGGCGAAAGAAAGCGAAGATCCTGGAGATGTCTTTTGTTGCTGGCTGCACGAAAAGTATTTGCTTACCTTGAAGCGGCTTCTGTATCTGCTGAGTGTTGGATCACAGAATGTTGCGGAGTTTTCCTTATGTACATTAATGAAGTTCATTATCGAAGAAGGCAAATTAATGAAGTGTTTCCCGAATGAGCTATTCAGGCAGATTTGCGATGCACTCTTTGATGGACAGCGCAGCATGAAAATCTGCATTGAACGATTTGCAGAGTTCTTAGAGTTTGACGATGTAAGGTTTTATGTGCTGAAAAATCTTGGTAAATTCCTGGGGAATGTCTTCAACAGCACTGAGAAATTTCTTGTGGAAAATACCTTGACAATGCTGAGCCTTGTAAAGATGAAGAAAAATGAAAACGAACTCAATAATTTTCTTATTGATGTGAGAAAAAAGAAGAAGAAAAAGCATGGCAAAAGTGGAAAACAAGAAGAAAGATTTCTTGTTCTACAGGAGCATAGAAGGGTGTTCAGCTCAGCATGGCTTGGGTTTCTTTCAATTCCATTGACATCAGAAGTTCACAAGAAGATCCTACTGAATCTTCACACCGATGTTTTGCCTCACATGACTGACCCAAAACTGCTGATGGATTTCCTGACCGATTCCTATAACACCGGAGGTGTTACAAGCCTACTTGCACTCAACAGTCTATTTGTGCTGATACACAAGCACAACTTGGAATACCCAGATTTTTTCAAGAAGCTTTATGCCTTGTTTGAGCCTAATATCTTCTATGTGAAGTATCAAGCGAGATTCTTTCACCTGGCTGATCTGTTTTTGATGTCAACACATCTTCCCTCTTACCTGGTTGCCGCTTTTGTAAAGCGTTTGTCGCGCCTTGCTCTCACTGCTCCTCCATCAGGTGCAATGTTGGCAATTCCTTTTGTCTGCAATTTAATTAGGCGGCATCCAAGTGTACAAGTCCTCATTCACCAAAAGAAGGTAAGACAGAGAAATTTTGTTTTACTACTTTCCCCGCCTCCTTTCTCCCTGTCATTTGGGACATTTTATAGGAGAGACTTATGCACCTCAATGACAGAAATGCCAAATTGATGCGTAAAATCTGTCCAGAATCTAGTCAGGAGCTCTGATTTGTTGATGTAGTAATATTGTCAGGGTTTTCATTAATAGTCCTGGTAGCAGGAGAAAGGTTGGCCTGCGAAAACATCCATTTCTCCTCGCTCTTCGTAGCTGGGGACGTTTCGCGCGGAGGAGCGTCTGTGACTCAGCAGCAGAAATTCCATACTGATGACACAAATCAATGTTTACATAATAAATCCAGTAGTCATGGGGTTCCAAATATAAATTTGTCCAATTTTATTTGTCTTCTGGTCGATTTTCGTATACTGTTGTGTTCATCTACCAACACACTCCAGCAAAACTCAAATACTTATTCTAGGGGAGACTATATTCCACAAATATTGACAGTTATGTTAGAGATTCTTATCATTTCCTTTTCACCATTGTAGCATGTTGTTTTTTGTCGGTCTAGACTGTCATTCTTAACTAATAACTAAAAATATCTAACAATCCCGGTCACTATTTTTACCGGGTTCTNCCTGTCATTTGGGACATTTTATAGGAGAGACTTATGCACCTCAATGACAGAAATGCCAAATTGATGCGTAAAATCTGTCCAGAATCTAGTCAGGAGCTCTGATTTGTTGATGTAGTAATATTGTCAGGGTTTTCATTAATAGTCCTGGTAGCAGGAGAAAGGTTGGCCTGCGAAAACATCCATTTCTCCTCGCTCTTCGTAGCTGGGGACGTTTCGCGCGGAGGAGCGTCTGTGACTCAGCAGCAGAAATTCCATACTGATGACACAAATCAATGTTTACATAATAAATCCAGTAGTCATGGGGTTCCAAATATAAATTTGTCCAATTTTATTTGTCTTCTGGTCGATTTTCGTATACTGTTGTGTTCATCTACCAACGAGCTCCAGCAAAACTCAAATACTTCTTCTAGAGGAGACTATATTCCACAAATATTGACTGTTTTGTTAGAGATTCTTCACATTTCCATTTGACCTTTGTGGCCTTTTGTCTTTTGTCTGTCAAGACTGTCATTCGCAAACAATAGCTAAAACAATGTAACTACCCCGTCCACCAATCAGACCGGATTCTGGACAGATTTTACGTCATCAGTATGGAATTTCTGTGGCTGAGTCGCAGACGTTCCTCTGCGCGAAACGTCCCCAGCAGCGAAGAGGGAGGAGAAACGGATGTTTTCGCAGGCTAGGGAAAGGTGTAACATTACTGGAGAACATTTTGAAAGAGGCTCCTCTTCTGAATAAAAAATAGTCATAAGCTACCGAATGTTAGGCAGAGAATTCTGCGTAATAAACAGAGAATTCTCTGATCTCCAATGCCTAAAGAACACCCTGAATTGTATTCTTTTAGCTATGTCATTTCTCTTGTTGAGGCACAGACTTCTCTCCCACAAATTAAATGTCCCTAGTACCAAGGATGAATGGAACAAGGCCTTAAGTGACTATTCAGGTATTGTCGATAATACTCCGTAATAAGTAGGTTGACTATGATCATCTGGGTGAATGTAGTCCTGAATAGAACTGTTGTTGTTAACAGTGACTGACGTTTAACCTGTGCAGTCGTCATCTTCAGAGTCAAAGTGAGTTGTCAGTTAATGGTATTAAACTCTGGTTATTGACCTGATTAGTCAATTAAGTCGTGATGTTATTGGTCGTCTGTCAGTAAAGCCGTGATGTTATTGGCTATGAAGACTTTTAATGTCATTGGTACTTTTCGATCCACCTATTGTCACAGTTATTTATTGTCAGTCAAATTGTCAGTTGTCCAGTTTAACAAGGAAACTCAGGGTAATTCATAAAGGGAACCAGTTTATCAAAGTCATGCAGGGCTTTTTTTCTAATACCTTTTTGGTAGACATCATGTCAGAATGTAACCCATTTTTTACAAAACAAAAATACCCAAAGAAAGATGCCAAATGAATTTTTTTTTATTTTCTTATTATTATTTTCAGAGCAGTTTTGGTGATTTTTAGTATCCTATAGGGCATTTTCATATTACATCACGCCCACCACGTTAGTGTTCCAAAGTAGTGCAAATGCAGCCATGTTGGTGTTCCAAACAAATCCTGTGGGAGTTAAACCTTTTTCTCACATAAAGAGTTTCTTTTCTCCCAATAAATTTGCATAGTTGCTGGCCATGTGAGTAAAAAGGCTCTATTAACAGAACATTATATTAAAAATGATGCACTTTCTCCTGTACTGTGGACATACCTATTTACGAGGGTTTTCCCATGGCTTCCCTTTTCTTCAGATAGACATAAGAGACTTGAAAATAGCACAATGACAAGGTTGGGGCTCACAAATTTATTAGTTTGACTGTAAATGGTCAGTCAGGATTGAGCAAGAATACCAGATATTCAATACACCATGCATAGTTTTAATGTAGACAAATAATACTGTGGAACCCCACCCTACTTACAGCACTTAATAGAGACACCTGCGCACATGTATAACAGACAGTTTTGTTTGTCCCGACAAAATGCTTACATATCTGTTCTAAAATTAACATGCTTTATGAACACCTATTAGTACATGTATGGACAATGGACACTATTTTCGTGTCCAGAGGCATAAAATTTTCAAATATTGTCAACCCCACTTTACTAACACTGGTTATCTATGCACTATCTATTTTACTTCTCACAGTCATGTGCTAGTTGTAGACATCGCACACTATTCAAATATTGACAGATTTCTGTGGGTTAATACAGTAGCAAAATACTGTGGCATGTTTGATTTTGATAAAAAATCTGTCCCTTTTTCACGTTTGACTCTTGTACTGTAGCCATTTGATTAAGTTTTCTGCCTTCAGTATTAGGATTAGCGTAGTTGTAGAGCGCTTGACTGCAGAGCAGAAGGTCACGGGTTTGATTCCCGGGGCCACTGGACCGATACTCAGGGTCTCAAAATAACTGAGAACTGAAGGTACTCCCTTTGCACTGCTAGCGGCTAGACCTTCGCGTGGCTCAGATGGCCACGTAAGACGGCGGTCCTTCTCCAGTTGGAGATGTAAAAATAGTGTCCCCAATTGGTACTTTCATGCTAAATACCTTGACACCCAAATAAAGTGTTTTTTTTTTCAACTACACGTGCAAGTTTCACTTCCTCTGCACTTTGCTGAGGTCATTGTAACTATTGTAGCCTTCTTCCTCTTTTTCTGCTTTAGTCTGTATATCAATACAGTGTGTGTCCGTGACTTTTTTCGGAAAGCTTACTTACTACGGACAACATGGCAATTGCCCTCTTGGTATCCATAGTAACCGGGTTCCACTCTATCATTTTGTCTTTAGTCAGGAAAGTTACTGCTTGAAGGTGACTCAGAAGAAGACATTTCAGATTCTCAAAAAGGTGATCCTTTTATTCCCGATGAACCAGACCCTGCAAAATGCAATGCGCTGAAGAGTTCACTTTGGGAACTGAAAACTCTCCAAAGCCATTATTATCCAGGAGTTTCATCACTTGTGGAAATGCTTCAGAAGCCACTCGGTACCATGGAAACGGACATCTCGCAGTATTTGGATGAGGATTATGATCAACTGTTCCAGAAGCAATGCAGAAAGATTACAGCGGAAAATGCAGTTTTGGAGTTTCAAGTTCCCAAGGGATTATTTAGTAAGGGCATGTTAGAGAGCTGGGTCTTGGAGTAATGTGATGGTTAGCAGAACATTTACTATACCTTTTGTTATATGTAAACTGCTTTGTTCTTATTTTGCTATTACGCTACTTCTTGAAACCAAAAAAAAGAACAGTGAATGTGTAGGAGAGTGTAAATGATTTTAATGAGGGGTGGTTAGGGTGAAATCCTAACAAGCAGCATGGTCTTGTAGCATTGACATAAGACAGATGAAATGATGACAAATGACACCCAGACAGGTTAAAATTGCAAAAGCATCGAAGACGAGCGAAAATACAACAGAAAAATACCGTCAGGGACGGGGTAGCCTGCGAAAACATCCGTTTCTCCTCGCTCTTCGCCGCTGAGGACGTTTCGCGCGGAAACGTCCCCAGCTACCAAGAGCGTAGCCCGAAATTCATCCGATTGCTTCGAGTTGTTTTCTCCTCTCAACAACTGAGGGAGTAATAACGACTCGAAGTAATCGGATGAAATTCAGGCTACGAAGAGCGAGGAGAAACGGATGTTTTCGCAGGCTAGGAAAATTAAATTCTGTTTTGATAAAACAGTTTAACAGGTATTCCACTTGCGCTTTGGTTTTGAGACGATTACAGCCAACTTGGTGCGAAAATCACATAGCAAGGATACCCTCGTACATTGCCTTTTAACTACAATATGTACTGTCTTCTGATTGATAATTGTAATTGACTTAACAATTTGTTTCTGCTACACTGTTGTCTTTTTGTTTCGATTTTTCTCTTTTTGTTGAATTTTGTTACGTCATATACAGAACGAAACATTAACTGGAAGTAGACAGGGAAAAAGCCAGGGAATTTCACTTCGAGTCAAGAAAAAGTTAAATCTTTGAAAGAAGTCAGGGAAAAGTGAAATTTTAAGAGTACATATTTATTCTTTGAACAGTCTATGGGCATGGATCGTTTTGTTTTGGTAGAAAATTGTCCATGAAAAGGAACGACAAGCCCGCCGTTGGCTTTTCAAGGACATCCATTCTTTTGCACGTTATGTTAAAGAACTATCAATTAATATGCACTTCACGTTACTTGCTGAAAGTGGAGGGGATGCCGTGAGAGAGTTGGTAGGGGAAATTTTAAATTTGTCAGAAAATGTCAGAAACCTCTGGCTGCTGCAACCATGATTAAGTTTGTTTCATAAACATTCAGTATTTTCGCAGTTTTCGCCTTATAATTCTAAATTACAACTTTTCAAAGCGGACCGAGGGAAACTTTTTATGTTATTATAACCTCAATTCTTGGCAGCGTTGGACCCGGGATTTTTGACGCTGTAATATACTAGCAAATAGTTGTTTTGACGAAATTTCCTAGAGACTTCCCTTCAAACAAGCGAAACAGATTTAGAGACACAGTTTTTTCTGTCTTCCCCCTTTTCAAAAAAAACGGTTCGCAAAAACTTCCGGTTAATTTAATAGTCGTTCAGGGAACTTATTTCTTGTCTACAAGGCGAAACGTTTAGTACACAAGTTGTTCTGTGTGACAAATTCGAAATATTTTTCATGTTTCTCTTTGTTACATTAGCCTTTTATTGTTTTAATCTAGCATCCATCACAAGTGCTGGTTAATTGATGCTTTGGTAAAAATTCCGAATTCCTATTGGTTCGTTATGACTGTTAGCCTAGTACGGAGGCTCGGCGAATTTGAGCTGTCTTTAATAATAACAGAGTCGAGTCGAGTCGAAATTGCAATTGGACGAAACTCTGTACCATTTCCTGGGAAATCCTGAAATGTTTCGATTTCTAAAGGTTGATTTCCCCGAGGAAATACTTGCCACGCTTTCATAACGTCGACACTTCCTAGTGTCCTTATTTGGCTTTGGCAACGCGGAAACTTCAGCTGAAACTTTTTTGACAACATTAGCAAAGGAAGCTTTCATTTTTCTCTAAATCTGTGCGAAATGATGTCGAAACGATAAATCGCCAGACTGAAAATGGCGGATGGATTAGTGGCAATTGATTAATTTACCTCACACAAACCGAGATAGTGAAGACAGAACCAACCTTAATAATGTTCAACTACAAGCCTAGCAGTGCAGAAATTGTCACTTGACTGTCTTACCCGCGGAGAGTGTCGAGACTTAGAACCGTTCATTTATCTTTAGCGAGAAAACGAGGGCAAACACAGAGTGGTTTATATCGCATCAAAAAATCACTAAAAACACGGACGAGTGGGTACAAAAGTGAGAGCGACTTAACGGATCAGGAGGCCTCACAAATCAGGCCAGTTTACGTAAATCCTCTATTTCAGCACCAAGAGATGTTCAATAACTCGGATGTATTTTTTGAAGAAATTTTGTCTAAGATTGAACACGAAGCAGCCAAGCTGACAAGCTTAAAGAGAAACAGCGAAAGTTTGAGAGGTTTTGACACTTTTATGCTTTACTAGTATATTGCTGCAAGTAACTTTATACGACACTGACCTGAACTTATGTGAAGGCCTTAAACTTTGTTGACGACAAGGCTTTGTAACTGAAAATTTGGCAACGCTGCTAGATCGATAAAAATGTCTTGATTTCCTGGCGCAAGAGAAATAACTATACAAATTGCAAGTATTTGCTTTGTTATGGAGACGAGTTTATGTCACAAAGTGAACGCTGCTTGTCTCAGTGACTCGAATATCGTTGCTGGAAGGAGGAACTTGGCGGAAAGACTGCTTGTTTAGAAATGGTATCACAACTGGATCTTATAAATTTAATTGCTTTCTTTGAATGAGGAATGAAAAAGTTGTAACGTTTAAATTCTATGGAGTTCAAGACTCGCATTCAAAAATTATTTTAGTGACAGACGACGTGGGGGGAAGAGCCTGAAGGTGCCACCTGCTTCCACAAATTATGCATTTTTATTCTTTTGACATTAGGATTGGCTAATTTTTTTATAAACTTCAAGATGTCTATCAGATTTTAAATAAAAAAATAACAGCTGAACTTTTCCCTCTTTCTCTGTATGTCTATCAGTCTCGTTTGGTTGTCGAAATTAACTCCTGAACATTCTCAAATCATGACCCTTAAGGTGCTCCCCATTATATAACACATAAGGCAGATTTGCTTTGACTGAAGCGACTCTCTCTCCCGGCAGCAGGATATTATATATTGCGCAAAGTTTTTTTTATTATTAAATTTTTTTAATCATAAATTTCCAAAAAAACACTAACGATTAACCATAATAGATGTTATATGTCTCACTGCTCCTCCATCAGGTGCAATGTTGGCAATTCCTTTTGTCTGCAATTTAATTAGGCGGCATCCAAGTGTACAAGTCCTCATTCACCGAAAGAAGGTAAGACAGAGAAATTTTGTTTTACCACTTTCCCTGTCTCCTTTCTCCCTGTCGTTTGGGACATTTTATAGGAGAAACTTCTGCACCTCAATGACAGAAATTCCAAATTGATGCGTAAAATCTGTCCAGAATCTAGTCAGGAGCTCTGATTTGTTGACATAGTAATTGTCAGGGTTTTCATTAATAATCCTAGTAGCAGGAGAAAGGTGTAACGTTACTGGAGAACATTTTGAATGAGGCTCCTCTTCTGAATAAAAAATAGTCATAAGCTACCGAATGTTAGGCGGAGAATTCTGTGTAATAAACAGAGAATTCTCTGATCTCCAATGCCTAAGGAATGCGCTGAATTGTATTCTTTTAGCTATGGCATTTCTCTTGTTAAGGTGCAGACTTCTCTCCCACAAATTAATTAAATGAGTAAGTACCAAGGATAAATGGAACAAGGCCCTAAGTGACTCTTCAGGTATTGTCGATAATATTCCTTAATAAGTAGGTTGAGTATGATCATCTGGGTGAATGTAGTCCTGAATAGGACTGTTGTTGTTAACAGTGACTGATGTTTAACCTGTGCAGTCGTCATCTTCAGAGTCAAAGTGAGTTGTATCACGTCAGTTAATGGTATTTAACTCTGGTTATTGAGCTGATTAGTCAATTAAGTTGCGATGTTATTGGTCATGAGCAAGCCGTGATGTTATTGGCTATGAAGACTTATAATGTCATTCATACATTTCGATCCGCCTGTTGTCACAGTTGAACAGTCATCTATTGTTGGTCAAATTTTCAGTTGTCCAGTTTAACAAGGAAATTCAGGGTAATTCAGAAAGAGAACCAAACAGTTTATCAAAGTAATGCAGGGCTTTTTTTCTAACACCTTTTTGGTAGACATCTTGTCAGAATATAACCCATTCTTTACAAAAACAAAAATACACAAAGAAAGATACTGAGTTCAGTTTTCTTTTTTTCTCTGATTATTATTTTCAGAGCAGTTTTGGTGATTTTAAGTATCCTAAAGAGCATTTTCACATTACATCACGCCGCGCACCTTATTAGTGTTCGAATTCCAAAGTAGTGAAAACACAGCCATGTTGGTGTTCCAAACAAATCCTGTGGGAGTTAAACCTTTTTCTTACGTAAAGAGTTTCTTTTCTTCCCATAAATTTGCATAGTTGCTGGCCATGTGAGTAAAAAGGCTCTATTAACAGAACATTATATTAAAAATGATGCACTTTCTAAAGACTGTACATGACGGTACCCTGTACTGTGCACATACCTATTTACGAGGGTTTTCTCACAGCTTCGCTTGTCTTCAGATAGACATAAGAGACTTGAAAATACCACAATGACAAGGTTGGTGTTCACAGATTTATTGGTTTGACGGTAAATGGTCAGTCAGGATTGAGCAAGAATACCAGATATTCAATACACCATGCATAGTTTTAATGTAGACAAATAATACTGTGGAACCCCACTCTACTTACAGCACTTAATAGAGACACCTGCGCACATGTATAACAGACAGTTTTGTTTGTCCTGACAAAATGCTTACATATCTGTTCTAAAATTAACATGTTTTATGAACACCTATTAGTACATGTATGGACAATGGACACTATTTTCGTGTCCAGAGGCACAACATTCTCAAATATTGTCAACCCCACTTTACTAACACTGGTTATCTTTGCACTATCTATTTTACTTCTCACAGTCATGTGCTAGTTGTAGACATTGCACACTATTCAAATATTGACAGATTTTTGTGGGTTAATACAGTAGCAAAATACTGTGGCATGTTTGATTCTGATAAAAAAATTCTCTCTTTTTCCACGTTTGACTCTTGTACTGTAACCATTCGATTAAGTTTTCTGCCTTCAGTATTAGGATTAGCAGGATTAGCTTAGTTGTGGAGTGCCTGACTGCAGAGTGGAAGGTCGCGGGTTCGATTCCCGAGGCCACCGGACCAATACTCAGGGTCTTAAAATAACTGAGAAATGAAGGTACTCCCTTTGCACTGCAAGCGGCTAGCTTCGCATGGCTCAGATGACCACGTAAGATGGTGGTCCTTCTCCAGTTGGAGATGTAAAAATAGTGTCCCCAATTGGTACTTTCGTGCTAAATACCTTGACACCCAAATAAATATATTTTTTTTTTTTGCAACTACACATGCAAGTTTCACTTCCTCCGCATTTTGCTGAGGTCATTGTAACTATTGTAGCCTTCTTGCTCTTTTTCTGCTTTAGTCTGTATATCGATACAACGCGTGTCCGTGACTTTTTTCGGAAAGCTTACTTACTACGGACAACATGGCAATTTGCCTCCTGGTGTCCATACTAATCGGGTTCCACTGTATCATTTTGTCTTTAGTCAGGAAAGCTACTGCTTGAAGGTGACTCAGAAGAAGACATTTCAGATTCTCAAAAAGGTGATCCTTTTATTCCTGATGAACCAGACCCTGCAAAATGTAATGCGCTGAAGAGTTCACTTTGGGAACTGAAAACTCTCCAAAGCCATTATTATCCAGGAGTTTCATCACTTGTGGAAATGCTTCAGAAGCCACTCGGTACCATGGAAACAGACATCTCACAGTATTTTGATGAGGATTATGATCAACTGTTCCAGAAGCAATGCAGAAAGATTACAGCGGAAAATGCAGTTTTGGAGTTTCAAGTTCCTAAGGGATTATTTAGTAAGGGCATGTTAGAGAGCTGGGTCTTGAAGTAATGTGATGGTTAGCAGAACATTTACCATACCTTTTGTTGTATGTAAACTGCTTTGTTCTTGTTTTGCTATTACACTACTTCTTGAAACCGAAGAAGTACAGTGAATGTATAGGAGAGTGTAAATGATTTTAATGAGGGGTGGTTAGTAGCCTGCGAGCAAGCTTTCCATTTGGGGGATATCGTGAAAAGTACACGCGCGAGAGGCACGCGAGAGGAGACGTGACTGCGGGGGCGGGGAAGAGAAAGGGCTTCCTTTCGCCGGCCCCTCGCGGCTCGCTTCGCTCGCCCAACTAGGAGAGCTTGCTCGCAGGCTAGGTGGTTAGGGTAAAATCCTAACAAGCAGCATGGTCTTGTAGCATTGACATAAGACAGATGAAATGACGACAAATGACACACAGACAGGTTGAAATTGCAAAGACCAGCCAGGAGCCCATCATTTAACGGGCTCCTGGACCAGCGAAAATACAACAGTAAAATACCGTCAGAGACGGGGCGCTAAAACAGGAAAATTCAACATCATTTTCGCTTTTTTTAATACAGTCGACTCCCGATAATTCGAATCTTCAAGGGAAATAGAAAAAAGTTCGAGTTATCGGGAGTTCGAGTTATCGAGGGTAAAATTATATGGAAAATGATCTGAAGGGACATGAAAATTACTTCGAGTTAACGGGAGGTTCGAGTTGTAGAGGGTTCGAGTTACCGGGGGTCGACTGTAAAACAATTTAACGGGTATTCCACTTCCGCTTTGGTTTTGAGATGATTATAGCCAACTTGGTGCGAAAATCACATGGCAAAGATACCCTTCTACATTGTCTCTTGACTACAATATATACTGTATTCTGATTGATAATTGTAATTTATGTAACAATTTGTTTCTGCTACACTGTTGTCTTTTTGTTTCGAATTTTTTTCCTTTTTTGCTGAATTTTGTTACGTCATATACGCAGAAAGAAACACTAACACGGTTGCCACAAGTCAGGAAATGGTCAGGGAAAAGCCAGGGAATTTCACTTCGAGTCAAGAAAAAGTTAAATCTTTGAAAGAAGTCAGGGAAAAGTGAAATTTTAAGAGTACATATTTATTCTTTGAACATTCTATGGACATCAATCGTTTTGTATTGGTAGAAAATTGTCCATGAAAATAAACGACAAGCCGATGTTGGCTTTTCAAGAACATCCATTTTTTGGCACGTTATGTTAAAGAACTTTCAATTAATATGCACTTCAGGTTACTTGCTGAAAGTGGAGGGGGTGCCGTGAGAGAGTTGGTAGGTGAAATTTTAAATTTGTCAAGGAATTTCAGAAACCTCTGGCTGTGGCAAACATGATTAAGTTTGTTTCATAAGCATTCAGTATTTTCGCAGTTTTCGCCTTATGATGCTAAATTATAACTTTTCGAAGCGGACCGAGGGAAACTTCTTATCTCATTATAACCTCAATTCTTGGCAGCGTTGGACCCGGGATTTTTGACGCTGTAATATACTAGCAACAGTTGTTTTGACGAAATTTTTCTAAAGACTTCCCCTAAAATAAGCGAAACAGATTTAGAGACACAGTTTTTTCTGTCTTCCCCCTTTTTAAAAAAAAAAGATTCGCCAAAACTTCCGGTTAGTTAGCCGTTTAGGGAACTTATTTCTTGTCTGCAAGTCGAAACGTTTAGTACACAAGTTGTTCTGTGTGGCAAATTCGAAATATTTTCCATGTTTCTCTTTGTTAAGTTAGCCTTTTATTGTGTCAATCTAGTATCCATCACAAGTGCTGTTTAATTGATGCTTTGGTAAAAATTCCGAATTCCTATTGGTTCGTTATGACTGTTAGCCTACTACAAAGGCTCAGCGAATTTGAGTTGTCTTTAATAATAACAGAGTCGAGTCGAGTCGAAATTGCAATTAGAGGAAACTCTATATCATTTCCTGGGAAATCCTGAAATGTTTCGATTTCTAAAGGTTGATTTCCCCGAGGAAATACTTGCCACGCTTTCATAACGTCGACACTTCATAGTTTCCTTATTTGGCTTTGGCAACGCGGAAACTTAAGCTGAAACTTTTTTGACAACATTAGCAAAGGAAGCTTTCATTTTTCTCTAAATCTGTGCGAAATGATGTCGAAACGATAAATCGCCGGACTGAAAATGGCGGATGGATTAGTGGCAATTGATTAATTTACCTATGTGTTTGGCTCTATCACTTCTGTCTTGGTTGGAATTATTACAAGTTGATGTTCGGATCGTCACGTCTTTAACAGTGAACTGACAGAATGGGCGCCTCTCACAGCTCTGAATCTTGGCAAGTAAATAGAAAAGCGAGAAAACGAGGGCAAACACAGAGTGGTTTATATCGCATCAAAAAATCACTAAAAACACGGACGAGTGGGTACAAAAGTGAGAGCGACTTAACGGATCAGGAGGCCTCACAAATCAGGCCAGTTTACGTAAATCCTCTATTTCAGCACCAAGAGATGTTCAATAACTCGGATGTATTTTTTGAAGAAATTTTGTCTAAGATTGAACACGAAGCAGCCAAGCTGACAAGCTTAAAGAGAAACAGCGAAAGTTTGAGAGGTTTTGACACTTTTATGCTTTACTAGTATATTGCTGCAAGTAACTTTATACGACACTGACCTGAACTTATGTGAAGGCCTTAAACTTTGTTGACGACAAGGCTTTGTAACTGAAAATTTGGCAACGCTGCTAGATCGATAAAAATGTCTTGATTTCCTGGCGCAAGAGAAATAACTTTAAAAATTGCAAGTATTTGCTTTGTTATGGAGACGAGTTTATGTCACAAAGTGAACGCTGCTTCTCTCAGTGACTCGAATATCGTTGCTGGAAGGAGGAACTCGGCGGAAAGACTGCTTGTTTAGAAATGGTATCACAACTGGATCTTATAAATTTAATTGCTTCCTTTGAATGAGTGATGAAAAAGTTGTAACGTTTAAATTCTATGAAGTTCATGACTCACATTCAAAAATTATCGTAGTGACAGACGACGTTGGGTGGTAGAGCTTGAAAGTGCCACCTGCTTCCACAAATTATGCATTTTTATTCTTTTGACATTAGGATTGGCTAATTTGTTTATAAACTTCAAGATGTCTATCAGATTTAAAAAGAAAAAACAGCTGAACTTTTCCCTCTTTCTCTGTATGTTTATCAGTCTCGTTTGGTTGTCGAAATTAACTCGTGAACATTCTCAAATCATGACCCTTAAGGTGCTCCCCATTATATAACACATAAGACAGATTTGCTTTGACTGAAGCGACTCTCTCTCCCGGCAGCAGGATATTATATATTGCGCAAAGTTTTTTTTATTATTAAATTTTTTTAATCATAAATTTCCAAAAAAACACTAACGATTAACCATAATAGATGTTATATGCAAGTTCATTCGACGACCCAGTCGTTTAGCATAATAAACAATTACTTCAGTCTATTGTTGTGAATTTTACCGTTGGCTATGTTTTCCGCGATCTCTAAGAGTTTCCTCATTTCTCTAACCTTGCGATCACGCGGTACTTCTTCCCTTTTTCTTCGGGTTCTTCTCCCTTTGCTTGCTTGGCTGGCGCAAAAAAAGGCAGAGGGGGGTGGAAAAGCGCGAAAAAGAAGACGAAAGAGGTCCATTTCCATCTCTCCTCAATCCACTCTCCCTCTCCCCCTCATTTCTCCTCTCATTAGGGAGCTTTAGCAACGACGATGGCGACGGCAACAAGGACGTCAAAAAAGCAATAGGTTTATTACGCAGAACAGCAACTTTACACGTGCAACACGCTTTTTTGTACATTTCTTTACCGTTCTTGCACGGCCACGACGTGAAAATACCTAATTGTAAGTTTTAAGGTGCGGTTACACGAGACGATTCGCATCGACGATTTTTAGCGCAACGCAGCATTGCATCATTGTTGCGACATTGTTTCGAATGGTTGCAACATTGTTCCAACATTGCTACGCTGTGTTGCGCTAAAAATCGTCGTTGCGAATCGCTCAGTGTAACATCACCTTTGTGGAGGACGTAAACAAGCGACGACGAAATTCTTTTTCTCTCCATCTCTCGAAACTTGAGAGCGCTCCTCAAGAAACCAACTCCAGGGAAATTCGCCTACAATTGTTATTTTCAGCAAATTGGTAAATATAAGCGCGACAAAGTTTGAAAAAACGGAAATTCATTTTAAAAGTGAGACGTTTTCGCTGCCTAGCCGTCGTCGATGCTAAGGGACCGGTAATTATTTTTCGCTTGAGGGTGTGGGGGGCGGAGTATCTGGGGCTAAACAAGGTGAAATTTAGCCGATCCCTCCTTTGAATGTTACTTCACTGAAGTGATCCCCCGCTAATATCTATTGATAATTTTCGCGACCCCCCCCCCCCCCATGTCTTCATTTTCCTAGCAAATTTGAGTATTCCCCCCTCTGAATCCTTCCAAATCCTTCCTTTCAGTGATCCCCACTTTTAGGTTCTCACTTCCGACTGATCCTGCCTTTTGTTCTCCTAAAAATCAAGTGATTCCCCCTAAAATCCTCCCCCCCGGCGATAAATATTGACCGGCCCCTAAAGCTCCCTATTTAAACGCCTTCCACGTAGGCTATTTTTTCCCGTTGCCCGTTGCTCTTCGTCTAAAAAAGGAAACGCCTTATTGCAGGCTATCATTTCTCTTGGCATGTGTCTTGAAGGAGGGTCCCTAATGGGGTTCTTCAACCCGGCAGGAACCCGGTAATCCCAACCCAAAATTTCGTGCAATCTCCCACGGATACTTTCAATCCTAAATTTCGCCCAAATTTTGCCTGAAAAACACGAATCCCTAGCTTCAATTAAGGGTAATCCCGGGTCCCGAAAAACTTTGGGGGACCCTCGTGAAGCGATCTATGGGAGAGATATTTAAACCTGAGTTTTTGGATTCCGGCATAGGGTATATATTAATACCTCAAGGGTATATCTCGGCTGTCCGTCCGATAAGGACCCTTACTCAAGTTTTCAAAATGTCCATAACTTCGCCTAAGTATAGCATAAGTTGTATGGAATTATGAGCCAACCCCCCTCCCCCTCCCCCCTCTGGCAATCCGCCTTTAATTGTCAGAAAGTAAAGAAAGTATGCGTTTTCCTCTTAATAATTTTTCAGCTGACAACAGCAAAGAAGGACAGCAAGCATATCAGTATGTACACGTAACATAATGTGCTATTCAACAATGACCAGGCAATTATGCTCCTGCCCAGATAAAAAATGACGACAGCCAAATCCTGCTGTTTTCTCGTAGTGAGCTTGGGCAGGAGTCCATCACCCTGTGGTTGAAAAATCTTAATAATCGATGTTCATTATAATTATTTTGTTGTTTTTAAAAATTTCTTGCAGAGTGTTTTCTAACCCCACACCGCCCCCACCAACCCCCCCTACCCTTTCCCCTGATGCCATTGTCCTGTTCCCAATCTTCTCTCCTCGAACGTTTTTCGAAATCGAGTTTCACGTGTTCCAACATGGCTGACTTGTCAGAGATAATGACGGCGAATCCTGCAAAATATCAAGAGGAACTTATCAAACGTCTCGATGCCCTGAAGAGAACACAGACCTTCTGCGATGTGACTGTTGCAGTAAAGGGCAAAGAATTCAAAGCTCACAAAGTTGTGCTAGCTGCAGCAAGCCCGTTTTTCCTTTCACTGTGGGAAAGCAACATGGTAGAAAGCAATGAACAACGAATCGAAATCAAGCTTGAAGAGGCTACTGCTTCTGTCTTTGAAGACGTGCTGCAGTTTATCTACACTGGAAATGTTTCTGTGACCGAAGAAAGTTGCCACAAGTTGATTGCCACGGCTGATTATCTTCTTTTACCGGGGTTAAAAACATTGGCTTGTCGTTTCTTGCAAGACGAGTTGACGGTTCAAAACTGTGTTTTCACCTATTATGTTGCTGAAAAGTATCAGTGTGAACAGCTTAAATTGGCATGTTGCGAGGAGATTTGTTCAAATTTCACTGCTGTTATGGAAACAGAAGATTTTCTGAACCTTGACATGAAACAAGTCATGGAATGGGTATCTCGAGATGACATTAAGGTTGGTGCTGAGGAAGAAGTATTTATGGGAATTGTCAAGTGGGTCTCTCATAACAAACCTGAAAGGGAAGCCAGTTTTTTTGAGTTGTTGCGCCAAGTGCGCCTAATTTCCATATCAAAAGTCTTTCTCCGCAACACATTAGTGAAGCAGGAGCTTGTAACTACAAGTAATGTCTGCTTAAACTTTGTGTTGGAATCTATTACTGATGAAAACACAAGTCTTTCCAAAGCACCAAGAAAATGCCTTATATCGCAAGTGGAAGCAATTTTTGTGTGCGGTGGCAGGAAGGCATTGTGTTATCTTCCCGACGTAAATGTGTGGTATCAATTGGCAAACATGTCGTTTGAGCATCAAGACCATGCTGTCATTCAAGAGCAGGATAAGGTTTTCATTTTTAGTAAACAAAATTTTACAGATAGTCTGTCTTATGTAGTAGAGTACTATGTGCCTTCCACAAACCTGTGGTGTTCTTTTCAGTCAGGCTTTGAGTATAATGAGCAATTCTGTAGTGTGTTAGCAGTGAGTGGTTATTCACCATTGTATGCTTTAACCAATAATGACTCTATTCCTGAAAATACAATTTATACATTTGACATTGATAACAATGAGTGGGAATTACGAGGAGAAGATGAGTATAGGAATCGATGGGGGGCCTGTGCTGTGTCACTGGGACATTACCTTTACATAATAGGCGGTAGTTATGATGACACTACCACTAGAACTGGAATAACTAAAGTGGAAAGATTTGATCCAAATGATGACAGTTTCCAAGAAGTTGCACCTATGAATAACGCAAGACATGCTGCATTTGGAGCAGCCATGAATGACAAGATCTATGTTGCAGGTGGAATTCGAACAAGACACAGAAGTGGACTGCTTGACTCCTGTGAGGTTTATGACCCATCAACCGATGAATGGCATCTGATTGCAAGTCTCTGTGAACCACACCATTCAGCAAGCATGGTCTGCTTCAACAGAGCTCTGTATGTTATTGGTGGTGTGAAGTTTACAGATCGGGAATTGTCAGTTGAAGTATTTGATTCTGAAACAAATGAGTGGAAGGAGAAGAGCACCATACCTGTTAGCCAAGTTGAAAGTGAAGAAGAGAGAAACAAACAGATGGATTATAGGGCTTGTGCAGCATCAGTTCATCAAGATGTGTTTTTGAGGCCTATTGTGTCCTGAGCTGAGACAGTTGTATGCTCTGTAAAGATATTGTGCTAAGTGCAAATGCATAAACTTTCATGATCACAAGACTATAAAATGCTTCAAAAAAAGGAGCTGTGAGCAATCTAGTATTGAAGCACAGGCACTTTTCTGACCCTGAAAATTTTCTTGAAAAACTGTTAATCTTGGAAACACTTCAATACGATATAACAGTGCAGGGCTCAGCGCTTTGCTCTAAGAACATTTTGCTGGAGCCCAATGCTCTGTACATGTGAAATCTAAAGAGCCCAGTATGTGTTTTTTGGTTCTGTTTTTCTTTTCTTGGTGAAATTTTGATTTCCTAGCCTTCCAAGTGCAAAACTTAAGCACCAGGGACCACCAAGCACTGCGAGAGCATAACCCTGGTTGGTTTATAGCGAAATTCGTTGTATATATATATTATATATTTTGGGTTTTTCTGTTCTGACAATCATCTTAGCAGACCTCCTAGGAAACACATGTTTACTTGCACAAGTTCAAAAGGTCCTAGTTTGTGATTGGTGGATTTCAATCCGTTTTGTTTACTTTGTGTTTCAAGGTCCATTGCTTTGTGATCGTCCTGTTTCAGGCAATGATGGACTCGTTAAGTTTGCTTCACAGCTTTCTCTGATCTTTTTTATTCTAATGTCACTTGCAAAAATCCACTTACTATCACGATTTCCTTTGCTATTCTTGAGCAGTCTCGAGTCATTCTTAGCCAAGCTGTGAACGCACATTACATTGTGATTTGCATTAACCCTGCCTTCGCTCGAATGATTGACAGAACAGAAAAACCCAAAATCTCTTCGAAGTTTGCAATATGCGCAACACGGTACAACAAATTTTGCTGTTGTATTTTTTAAACAAAACCCTGCAAGAGGTCAAGTGGGTTCATTGTCATTGAGACTTTATTAAACATGAATGCACTTGAATTTTAGCTGATATAACTGAATGGTTCCTTATCTACGGGTCAATCTGGGAATGTATTAAACACCAAAATTTGGTGTTTAATACATTTAATGGGAGTAGCAATACTCTTGCACACTATTACTCTCTTGACGTATTTGATATATATCACAGGTTTTGCAATGGAGGGTCACTTTTAGCAGGATTTACACAGGGGGTACATAATGTACCCACCATGAATCACTCTAGCTTGTTCCAGGCTCTCAGATAATGGGAAAGATTCGAAAGTACTCAATTCAGTGGGACGGACTATCCTGGAGCCTGCAACAGGCTAGAATCACTCTGACTTTTTTAGGCCATCATGCATCATGTAAATGAGGTGCCATGTTAGCTTAGAGCAATAACAAAAACAACAACAACAAGTTTATTCAGTATTACCATTTTTTACAGTTGTTACCGACTGAAATAACAATAAACAGCTAAATTTAAGAAAATGGAGATATAATGGAATGGTAGAATTAATATGTGAATCAGAGTATTGTTAAAAAGAAAACAGACTTTATCATGGATATTGTAATTTGTAAATAATGTATTTTGGTCCTTGATTTTAATAAAAAGAGTCTTTCTCCGGTTATGTGCTCCCGCACTGGCTAAACCTGCAACTAAGGGACCAGCCATTATTTATCGCCTGGGGGTAGAGGGGGCGGGGGGGAGATTTAGGGCTAAACAATGTAAAATTTAGCTGATCCCCCCTTTGAATGTTACTTCACTGTAGTGATCCCCCCTAATAACATTTGATGACTTTTGCAATCCCCCCCACATGTCTTCATTTTCCAAGCAAATTTGAGTGGTCCCCCCTCTGAATCCTTCCAAAGTTTTCAGTGATCCACCCTACTGGGTTGTCAGTTACGACTGATCCCCCCTTTTGTTCTCCTAAAAATCAAGTGATTCCCCCCAAAGTCCTCCCCCCACCGGTCCCTAAAGAAGTCCTGTTAGCGTAAAATTCCAACGATCATCTTTGTACCTTGAACTGGGGTTTTGATGGTTGTAACGGCTGTTCTCTCTACTCATCATCATCAATTAATTTTGCAATTCTCCTCAATTTTTTTTACTTTTATATTGGATACGTAATTCCAATGATAAATTGTGTCCCCAAATTAGTATGGGGTTTTTCCCAAGCTATACAAGTATCCACATTCTTAGGCCATTTCCAGGTTGTCCCAAGCCTATTCTTGAAGGCGAGTTGCTCCCCCTACCCTACTCCCTCGCTGTTTTTTCCTGCTCACTTCTCTTCACAACGTTCCCACATTCTGAACGCCTGGAACAGGCTACAAGGCGAGAATAAGAGCGAAGTTATTCACTTAAAAAAAAAAACAAGAATCGCGAAAAGGCGATTTAAACTGGGCTGCCAATTTTCCTGGGGGAGGGGGTGGCTGCACACTTAGGCCGCCAGGCTTGTTGCTGTCGACTATTGCGTGACGTATCATCTCATGTGAGGGTTAAATAGTTACTCAATCCACATTTGAACATTTTACCCTTTTGGAAGACTTTCGTAACAAGAAAAATGAGTACCATTTTTAGTCGGGGCTGTATAGCACCTTTTCAAATTCCACCATTGTGAATAAAAATAAGCAAGTGAACCATTCTTAGCAGGAAATAATTAGCGTTATTTTCACGTACCCTTCCCCCAATCCCTCTGCTCCCCAAAATATAGCGTGAGCAATAGATTTCGCCAGTGCTAATGTATGTGAAAAGGGTACCATTTGTTAATAGAAGGTATATAAAAGGAGTACCTTTCCTGTCAAAATGGCATATATAAGAGAGTGATAGGTTGGACTTCGGGCTCCACCCCCACCCTGTGCGATAACAGAGTATCACTTGATACCAAACGTGACAAATTCCTGTTCCAGCTAACCAGTGTTCAAACAACATGGCCGACTTATCGCAACCCATCGCGGCAGATCCTGCTAAACATCGTGACGAACTTTTTCAGCGTCTAGATGCCCTGAGAGAAAAAGAAAGCTTCTGTGATGTAACAGTTGCAGTGAAAGGCAAAGAATTCAAAGCTCACAAAGTGGTGCTAGCTGCAGCAAGCCCCTTTTTCCTCTCACTTTGGGAAAGCAACATGATAGAAAGTAACAAACAACTGATCGAAATCAAGCTTGAAGATGCTACTGCTTCCATCATGGAAGACGTGCTGCAGTTTATTTACTCTGGAAATGTTACTGCTACCGAGGAAAATTGCCACAAATTGATCGCAACTTCGGATTATCTTCTTTTACCCGGATTGAAAACATTGGCATCTAGTTTCTTGGAAGATAATTTGACAATTGAGAACTGTATCTTCAATTACTATTTTGCCGAGAAATATCATTGTGCGGAGCTCAGTGAAGTCTCTCGTAAGACGATTTATGCAAATTTCACTGATGTGATGGAGACAGAAGATTTTCTGAACCTTGAAATGAAGCAAGCCATGGAGTGGGTGTCTAGTGATGACATTGATGTCAGTGATGAGGAAGCTATATTCACGGGAATTGTCAAGTGGGTGTCTCACAACAGGAATGAAAGAGAAAGCTGTTTTCCTGATTTATTGCGCCAAGTCCGCATAAGGTCCTTATCACTTGAATTTCTTCTTAAGAAATTGTTGAAGGAAGAGCTAGTAACTAGAAATAATGACTGCTTAAACTTTGTTGTGGAATCCATGGAGTCAGTTTTCATTGCTGCAGATAAGAGTCTTACTAAAGCACCAAGAAAGTGTCAGAGGGTACTTGTGGAAGCAGTTTTTGTGTGTGGTGGCAGAAAAGCTTTGTGTTATCTCCCAGATGAAAACAAATGGTATTTTATTGCAAACATAATTTTTGATCATCAGCACCATGCTGTTTTGCAATACAGGGATAAACTTTACATTTTTAGTAAGCAAACATTTCCAGACAAACAGTCACAGGAAAAAAGATATTTTGAGCAGTCACATGTAGCAGAATTTTATGTACCTTCGACCAATACCTGGGGTTCCATTCAGACAAGATTGTGTTATTCAGATGAGAAATTTTCAAGTTTGTCAGTCCTGAATGGATTTTCATCCTTGTATGCTGTAACTGAATCAGCCACTAGCACTATGAATGGAATTTTTGCATATGATGTTGACAACAATGAGTGGGCGTTACTTGGACTTGGAGCTGAAGATGAATTTATTCAAGATCGTTGGGGAACTTGTGGCATAGCAGCTGGATGCCATCTTTACATTATAGGTGGTACAAACAAAGGGGATTTTCCAGCTACCGGTATTACCAAAGTGGAAAGGTTTGATCCAAAGGAACATGAATTAGAAGAGGTTGCACCTTTGAAAGAGGCAAGGCATGATGCATTTGGAGCAGCCATGAATGGCAAGATCTATGTGGCCGGTGGAATTCAGATGAGAGAACAGAGATGTAGACTTCTCAACACATTTGAGGTATATGACCCATCAACCAATGAATGGCATCTGATTGCAGACCTCTGTGTACCACGTCATTCTGCAAGCATGGTGAGCTTCAAAGGAGCTCTGTATGTCATTGGTGGTTTAAAGAACACCAACAATACCTCTACACTGAGAGAGTTGTCAATTGAAATGTTTGATTCTGAGACAAGTGAATGGAAGGAGAAGGGCTCCATACCTGTTAGTGGTGAAAGCAGCGAAGAGAGATATAAACAAATACACTACAAAGCTTCTTTTGCAACAATTCATGAAGATGTATTTACAGTAGAGAATATCATTAGTGTATGATCTCACTGCAAGGCTAGTCTAAAGAGGTGTTGGTACAAGCATGTCAATTTGGGGATGAGGAGAAGGCTTGTGAGAGGGACCAACATTAATGTTACTATTTCATTTACCAATGACCTTGCTTTAGTTGCAAAAGCATGGTTTCAGAAAGCAATGAAGTTGTGAAACCAAATTCTTAATAAATAATAATGATATTAATTAAGAATTTATAACGCGCTTTTCCATGCACATATGATCAAAAGCGTGCATCAAATTGAAAAATGTTTTGTTGCTTTTTAATTATCTGTTGGTCATTTGAACTTGATCTACAGTCAAACATCTATTAAGCAGTCACCCTCAGGAATTGGCCAGGTGACCGCTTAACCCTTTACTTCCCAATAGTGACCAAGATCAATTTTCTCCTAACAGTATCCATACACTGTCAACAGATAAGTTATGAGAATTAATAAAGTGATCACCCAACAAAACATACCTTGATCTTTTATCAAATTCTCTCAACTCATTCTTTAAGGAAATGCATGGAGATCAGTTTGGAGAACTTGTGTGTGGATACTGGGGCTTAAAGGGTTAATAGAGGTTGACCACTTAAGAGAGGTTTTCTAAAAATACGCCCATTATGTGATAGAAATTGATCTAGAGGTCAAAACTGGTCACTCTATATACAATTCATTGTTCACAACATCAGTCACGTGAAATATGATAAAAGTATTTGAAAGTTCTGAGGAATTCATGCCTAAACAAGAAATATTACAGTAATTTCATTCATAAGATAAGTGTCTTTGCAATCAAGCACATCATCAGTAGTTTTATAATCTCATTCAACATGAATGAGGCCTACGAACAGGAGAAAGGTCAAAGTCAAGCGGCAAAGAGTAAACAGAGGCAGTGGCTAATTGGCCTTACGAGGCTCCTTGCAATTGTATGAGTTTGAAGGTGACAGCTTTTCTTGTGGTTGGCTGCAATGGAAACTCGTTGTGTAAAAGAGGAATTCAATGTACCATAGTACAGAGACTCAGATTACAAATTATGTTACCTTGGGTTTGATAAGATGGAAAAGAAACTGGACATGCCTCACTTATTATCTTGTTAATTATAAAAAATATACCATTTATTGATAATTATTGTTATGTTACAAGGTGACTGTTAAACAGTGGTAAATTACAATAATTTTTAAATTAGCCATTTGGGAAATCTAAATGGTGACCATGTCTGCTTTATAGAGGTGACCATTGAATAGAGGTCAATTTTCAGTAAATATGGGAAGAAAATTTAGGGAAATTAATAGATGACTGCTACCCTAGGTACCAGAGGTTTTTTCTCGCATGCGAAGGGGAACTTCGTTTCGTCGGCCACGGGCCGACACGTGTTCGGTCAAAGGCCGATGACAAGAGCAACGAAGCCACAAGGCTTTTCACGCGGGTCACGTTTTAAGACTTGACTGAAACCGGAAACTGTGCATGAAAAGCCTCTGGCACCCAGGGTAGATGACTGCTTAACAGAGGTTTGACTGTAGTTGGATTTGCATAATGCAATGGTGATCTATTCATTTTTGTTCAGGGTGACTTGAAATGAGTGCCCATATTGTGGTAATACTAAATAGTAATGGTATAATAATATCTTTATATTATTGCTGGCATTATTGATTCATCATGTGACATGTAAGGGGATATATTTTCAGCCTTTGCGTGTAATGCAGTTTTGAGCAGTAGTCACAGGATAAGGTTTTGTCAACAAAATTATCAATAGTTTAAAATACTGTCTTGTTCCCACAAAATTATTATTGGGTCTGGAAGTGACAAGGTATATGATTTTACTGCAGTTTAATTGTTTGAGTTAGAAAAGAATTGAAAGACCACTAATTTGTTTACAATTTTTAGATAGATAAATAAATTTTTATATTACAATAATCCTAAAAGGATGTGGGTTCCTTTAACCTATTAGCTAATTATGAGGATTTCCTCTGAGATAAGCATTGCCCAACTCATCTTCTCCCTAGAATGTGGAATTGTTGACAGTTTTACTTCCATCAAGTCTCTTTTCCTACAATTTCTCAAAAGGGAGAAATGTTTTAGCTTGAATCACAATTTCCTTTACAGTGTCCACAAGAAAGGTTGGAAATATTATTTTTATACAGACATGTTAGTGAATTCTGCAGAACTACGTTTCATCTGACAAAATTAACTTAAAAATAAAAAAAAGTGGCCGTTGTAGAGGTGGCCGTCATTGGAGATTCGACTGTAAAAATGAAATCTATTATGGTATCCTCTGTGTCACAAGAGCACATTTTATTTGCTTGCAAACGGTTTGCTTGACTGTTAAAGATGTCGGAACTTTCTTGCATAAGTTGGTGCAAAGGTTGGTTAAAAAGAGACTGAAAGCAGCAGACATTCTTTCTTGTGCTCAAAGATCTGTGAGCAAGGGCAGTTTGTTAGTGTGTGATAACAGTTTGTGGGAGTGCCGTCCCAAATTGCTGCTCACAGCTTTGCTGCTCTCACACTGGCTCACTCCACACAGATTTTCGAGCTAAAGCCAGGAAGACTGCATGCAGTGTATTTATCTATTTGTAATACAATGTATAGTATATCATCACAAGAAGTTGAAAGGGAAAAAGCTAAAAATGGATAAATATAGTCATCTGGTACAATACAGTCAATGAAAATTATGCTTAGAAACATAATTTAAAATTCCCTCATAATACTTAAATATTTGCTATTTTTCTTAAAGTTGCTTTCAATTGACATGTTGTTTAAGGTGGTACAGACAGTTCCGCAGGCAAGTCGCACTTGCCCGAAATGTTTGGAGACCCATGTTTGAGCGGCATTTTGATACAGCCAAAGCATTATTAAAAGGAGATCAAGTGTTCTAGCTATGGGTATTTTTAAAATACGTTCTATGATTTGTGAAATAATCTGGACATTCCCCGTTTACAATTTTGAACATCAGGCAAAGTTTCTTTACTTATAGTTATTAAATAGTATTATATAGTCAATCTGCAGCCTTTGTTGTTTCTACTGTTTCTACACATTCTACTGTCTGATGTGTTGCTTGTGCTTAAATGTTTGCACCACATATGTGTCAACTAGCTGCTTCAGCAATGTTGATCAGTTCTTGAGCACTTTGTAAGTGATCAAGTAACAGTTCCTAATGCTCTCATTATGGGGATGGGTGTATAGTTCTCGCTGCTCTCTGTTTACGAGACTCCATCTTCCTGCTTTCTCCATTTCCTCAAATTTGGTGCGGTAACCAAGTTCAACAGGATCAAATGAGTCTGCACGTATGGAAAAAATAAATAGACCACCTAGGGAAAGACCAGCAACAGAAGATTAAAAACCATGCTGGACAAAAAGTTGGTGGAAAATGAATGCCTAGCCCACTTTAGGCAATATTTTCCACACTTTTTTTCGAAATAAAAAAATTTTTTTTTCAGAGACAAGGTGATTAAACTAGTGATTGACAGAAAACATCAGTCAACAGAACTTTTTCCATGATGCATTGCAAACATAGTGTTTAAAAAAGGAACAGTGCCGGCATACGCAGTGAGTTCTGAAACTTCTCATTCTGTGATTAAATGTTTTGGGTACAGACAAGATTACATTTAAATAAAATTTTACTATAAAAAAAATCTTTATTTTCAAGACCGTCTCCAGGTTAGTTTGAAATGTCAGCTTTCTCCACCCCCTAAGTGGTAACCCGTGGGAAGCACGGGGCAGATCGTGATGGGCGGAGATGGCGGACATTGCAAACTATGTCCAGGCCTGCAAAACTGCTTTGTAAATTTCAAGACTTCAAGACTGGAGGAACCGTTGGTCAATGTATTTAGCAGTTTTTAGGTTTCTTCTGGATACAAAACCATTACTATTTTCTTAGTCATGATATAGTCATGATCTGAGCCATGTGAAGGTCAACTCCACTTCCTCCTCTCTACCTAAAGTAGGTTTTCAATGGCCTGTTGAGAGCCTAATGTATTCTAACCAACAAAAACAGCAATCTCCCCCACTCCTTGCCACTAGGGATGTGATGTCCCTAGTGACAAGAAGCAAAGAGAGACATTCTTGTATTACCTGGTCTTACATGACGGACACACTCATCCAGCGCTACCGGCTTTGCTTGTCCATAGACTATAGTACCTGCACACAGTGTTACATCATACTCGCCAGTCTGTATGTCATCAATGGGGATGTCACTCAATGCAGCACAGATATATCGCTTGTAAACATTCCTCTGTTTTGCTAAATTCAACATTTCTTCAGAAATGTCCAACGCGTCAATGTTCCTATAACCTTGCTGCACCAGCATTTCACCAATGATTCCTGTGCCGGCCCCAGCATCAAGGATTTTGATATCCTTGTTAGCTTCAGGGAAAATGTCTTTAGACCACATGGCTTTATTGAAAGCCTCAACACACAGGACATGCCCTTTGTAACCAAGTTTGTTTGTATCCTAAAAGGTAAAAAAAAAAATAGTATAGACAGTATTATAGCAAAACTATTTCATCACTATTACAGTCAAACCCCATTAATACGAACACTGAGGAGGCCACAGAAAGTGTCCCTATTGACTGGGTGTCCATATTATTAACCCTTTAAGTCCCAATAGTGACCAAGATCTATTTTCTCCTAACAATATCCATACACTGTCAACAGATAAGTTATGAGAATTATTAAAATGATCACCCAAGTAAAAATGCTTTGATCTTTTATCAAATTCTCTCAACTTATTCGTGAAGGAAATGTATGGAGATCAGTTTGGAGAATTTGTTTGTGGATACTGGGGCTTAAAGGGTTAAAAAGGGTTGAATTTAGAGAAAATGTAAGGGCTTTCTTTCTTTCCCCAAGGACAAAGCAAACTGTCTATAATAAAAAGGTGTCTGTCTTAAGCGGGTGTCCTTTAAGCAGGTTTTGACTGTTTACTAAGTTTATTTTGCCTCATTACAGTCTTGGACACCACTTTTGATGGTCTCTTTACTTCACATCAAAGTAAGTGATTATAATGTCCTTTAAAGCATACCCATCTTATCATTGATGGGGATTGTGTCTATTAGTATTGAGTAGGGGTTGGGGATGGGGTGGTGTATATATATTTAGGAACAGGAGCAAAAGTCTCCAGATTTGAGATCTCCAGAGGTTGGTATCTCTGTACAAGTAGATTACCTTTTGTTCTTTAAAAAAGCTAGGCTACTGGCTACTGGCATGGGTAGAGTGACAATCAATTATAATATTAACCCTTTAAGCCAATGAGTAATCAGAATAAAACTTCTACTTGTAGTGGGTGGTATTCATGGCATTGGTAAGAGTAAGGGTGCCTTCCATTTGTCAGAACTGACCAGTCAAGTCATTCCCATCGTAATGAAAATTTCACTTTTAAACAAAACTATCTAGCTAGATCAGTCAGATCCTAAATAGTATGCACGAAGGAGATGGTTTTTTAGCAAAAACTCTTTGCAAAAAGCCTATTTCATTTTCAAAACGACCAGTCTGGCAGTGGTCCGGCCAGCCAGTTCTGACTTTTGGAGCTGTTAGGGTGAAATTGACCAGCAACATGACCTTGAGACAGTGCCATAAGATTAGATGAAATGGCAATAAATGGTATACTGAGATGGGTTAATTACCGACAGGGACATGGCCTACGCCTCAAAGTGCGAAATGACCATATTTCAAATTCAGACTAGGGACATACATACACCCCCTAAGAGAGCCTCTTTAATTTTTCTAAAAAGTACAACATACCTCTTCATAAGTTTTTGCCCAATCATCAAAAGTCTTTTTGGCATCCTTTAATGCTGAATTTGTGATCACTTCTAAAATTGCCTTGTTGTTAGGTGCAACAGCCATTATTAGTGAAAACCACCAATAAATTCTTGAAAAAAAGGAAAGGCAATATAATATTGGATTTACTCAAGCATGTTGGATAAATACACAGGCGACACTTTGATGACCACGCTAAAGGCTGAACCTTTTTTTGGCCTATGCATGCTGCTGCTGTGTTAAGCTGGAAATGGTCCTCTTTGATGAAATTCTCAAGAAGGGTTTAAGGGTTAGTGTTCCTATCACTGACAAAGTCAAGGTCATACATCATCTCAAATTGGGTAATCTGTTATATTGCTTATGTGCTGTAAATAAAGCTATAAGATCCTTCAGATTACTTAAATGTAAAATCAGTTCCCCTGGAGGACAACATTAATTGATGACCTCAAATTCTTTGAACACTTTGCCATCGACATAAGCTCCCTGGCCTCAAACTGTAGGGTTTTTGTGACTGCTAATGGTGATAATCTACTGTGGTGGCACTGTGATTAGTCCAATCAAAGAGGGTGTAACCTGTCGATCATCTGATTTCAAAGCATCTCCTCCCAATTCTGAGCACAGCTTTCCAGTTCCTCTGCCAAAACTTTGCTCGCTCTAAATAATAATCAATCCCGCCGGCTACCTTCAAAAGGAAGTATATTTATATTAAACTAGTATCCACTGGAAAGAGAGGAGAAGTCGTTACGTCACATTGCCATGGTAGCAAAGTTTTGGATGACAACAAATCAAAACGTCGCTTAAAAAGTGGATTCGACTCTTTGAACTTCATCGATCTTAGGTAAAAAATTTCATTTATTTTGTCAAATGTTGGCGAAATTTTCTGGGTTGAATGCGAAAGGACCATCTCTAAGTTTAGAACAAAAAAATTTTTGTGTTGTGCTTACCTACTCCATAAAGTGGGCAAGTGAAATTAGGAAGTTTCATCCAGTCGTGCAACAATGGCTAAGAAATGTACAAAAAAGCGTAGTGCACATGCAAAGTTGTTCTTTTGCCAATCTAAACCTATTGCTATTGTTGTGATCCAGAAATTTTGCTCCCATAATAACGTGACGTCACACTTCTCCTCTCTATCAGTATTCCCAATGAAGATCCCAGGGGAATTTGACCCTTTGTCTTCTCATAGGCCGCATCTGGGGATTATGGCATGACCCGCTTTGGGAAAACAGGGATACCAGCTAACTTACAGAATTTTGCGTTTTTCAGGCTAGCAAAGACGAAACCGAAGCGGCCGAAGGACGCGAGAGTCGAGACACACTCGAAGGAACACACGCCTGGCGTTTTTCTTTGCTCGCCTTAAAAAAAGCGAAAAAATAATCTTGTTCTGCAGGCCAGCGTGGCAAGGCAAGTATTACCGAAACAGAGAAGGGAATTCGGGCGCGCGAGAACGTGAAAAAGGTCTCATGTTCTTGCATTTTACATTACCTAGGCCGGTATATTAGAAGACGTCCATTCGTAGGTCATTCGTTCCATCCGACTGTTTCCGACCTTTATTCCCGACCAATTTTCCCGGTTCGGTCCAGTGCCCAACGTTCCCGTAATGCGGAAGATGCGGAATGTGTTCTAAACTTCCGGCAACATGGCCGACCTGACTGAACCTATGACGGCAGATCCTGCAAGACATCGTGAAGACCTGCTTGAACGTCTCGATGCTCTGAGAAGAAAGGAAACCTTTTGCGATGTGACAGTTGCAGTGAACGGCAAGGAATTCAAAGCTTACAAAGTCGTTCTAGCTGCGGCCAGTCCGTTCTTCCTTTCGCTTTTGGAAAACGACATGAGAGAAAGAAAAGAACAACTGATCGAAATCAAGCTTGAAGAGGCAACTGCTTCCGTTATGGAAGACGTGCTAGAATACATCTACACTGGAAATGTTTCCGTCACCGAGGAAAGCTGCCACAATTTGATCGCAACGGCGGATTATCTTCTTTTACCTGGATTAAAAACATTGGCTGTTGAATTTTTGAAGGAGAAAGTGACAGTTCAAAACTGTGTCTTCAATTATTACTTTGCTAACAAGTATCGTTGTACGGAGCTGACAGAAATCTATTGCAGCGTGATCAATTTGAATTTCAGTGATGTGCTGAAAACTGATGATTTTTTGAACCTTGACATGAAGCAAGTAATGGAATGGGTGTCTAGTGATGACGTCAATGTGAAAGCCGAGGAGGAAGTATTCACGGGAATTGTGGAGTGGGTGTCTCACAACAGAAGCGAGAGAGAAAGCTGTTTTCCTGATTTGATTCGCCAGGTCCGCCTAAGACCTTCATCACAAGACATTCTACTAAAGAAACTTGTAAATGAAGACCTTGTTACTACGAATATTGAATGCATGAACTTTGTCTTGAGAGCCATTATTGACTCAGATGAAAGTCTTTCCAGAGAACCAAGAAATTGCTTGAAGGTGCAAGTGGAAGGAATTTTTTTGTGTGGTGGCAAGAAGGCATTGTGCTGTCTTCCTCATGTAAACATGTGGTATAAAATGGCAAACATGACTTTTGAACATCAAAACCATGCTCTTCTACTGGACCAGCAAAGGGTTTACATCTTTAGTAAGCAAAATTGGTGTCATTTAGTGGAGTACTATGTGCCTTCCACAAACCTCTGGTATTCATTTCAGTCAGGCTTTAAATACAATGAGAAATTCTGTAGTGTGTCAGCAGTGAGTGGTTATTCATTTTTGAATGCTTTAACCTATAATGGACAACATCCTTACATGTACACATATGACATTAATACTAATAACTGGAATATGCAAGAAGAATCGCCTATAAATCGATGGGGAGTCTGTGCCATATCACAGGGACATCACATTTATATAATAGGTGGTACTAATACTGAAGATGACGTAGCTGCTGGAAATACTTAAGTGGAAAGATTTAATCCAAGTAATGAGAGTGTTGAAGAGGTTGCACCTTTGAATGAGGCAAGGCGTGATGCATTTGGAGCAGTTATGAATGACAAGATATATGTTGCAGGTGGAATTCAGATGATAGAGCAACGATGTAGACTTCTCAACACATGCGAGGTATATGACCCATCAACCAATGAGTGGCATCTGATGGCAGACCTCTGTGTACCACGTCATTGAGCAAGCATGGTCTGCTTTAAAGAAGCTTTGTATGTCATTGGTGGGTTAAACAATACCAACAATCAAGTTGCAGCCAGGGAGTTGTCTGTTGAAATGTTTGATTCTGGAACAAGTGAATGGAAAGAAAAGAGCGCCATACCTGTTGGTGGTGAAAGTGAAGATGAGACAGATAAACAAATACAGTACAAAGCTTGTACTGCAACAATTCATAAAGATGTGTTAGTGGAAGAGAATCTCATTGAGTTGTGACAGGCAATGAACCATCGATTTCTTGTGTCAAGCCTTAAGTTATGACTGCAAGGCTAGTTCACAGCGAGCAGAGGAGTTATCTATGATTTAATTCATTTTGCCATTATCCAAACCACCAAAAAATTGTACTGTGACAATTGGCAGACCCTATATTTGTTTTATGCTCTTTTAATCTCTTGTTTTAAGGGTTGTATCTCATGATTTTGGCATGATTTAGTTCATCTGACCCCTAGAAGCAAAGGTCCCATATCAACCTTCTGAACACTAGTGTTAATATTTTTAAAAAAAATCAAAATATGGCCACACTGTTATGGGTAAAGTAAGTTCATTACCATATAACCTGATAAACTTCTTTTAACAAACAAGGTTTTGGAAAAGGAGCATAGTATTTACTCTTCTGTTTACACATTTGTTCTTTCTTCAGACATTACCTTAATAGGTTCATTTGCCTACAAGTGCATTAACCAATGAAATACAGTAGAATTTTGAACCCAAGTTTGAAAAAAACAATAACCTAGGAAATTTTATGTTGTTCTTGCTTGTTGTTCAGCTGCTGAGTGATGTAATGGAGTTGACATTTTTATAACAGATTAGAAACTAAACTTAAGCACCCCTTGAAGTTATGATGGGTGGCCATATTTTTCTAGACATCAATAGGCCATTTGCAAGTTGTCCCAAGCCTCTGTTTCATAATGAGGCTAAGTGTGAAGCTATTGATATGAAAATATTATTTTTTATTCTCATGCAAATAAAACTT